TTCCTCCTCGCCTCCCCCATCCTTTTGCTTACAGAGTGTTCTTGAGTGTAATGTGGTGAAAGGCCAGCATCTCTGCCTACAGTGCTTTTCCTTGTACAAGCCACAGCAAATAAAGATTATTTTTTTTTTCCCTAACATGAGGCTGAGTGAAATGAATTGTGGTTTGTGTTAGATAATTGGTTTGGTTTGGGGGGTTTTTTTATACTGAAGTTTTGACTGATTTTGTGTTACCATGATAATCATCCTTTTTGTAGGGTGGAAAGAACAGTATTTTTTAGTTAGGCTGGCTGAGTTCAGTCATATGAGAATCATATACAAAACATCAATGGGGAGGGGAAAGACTTTTATTTGCATTAAGGTATCTCTTAAGTGTATGGATGTCAAATCTGCTTCACAGGTGAGTCAACAGAAACAATTCGTAACCTAAATATATCTATCAGGTCTTATGGCTAAAGGAAATTGTTATTCCTATTTTCCTAAATTCATTTCTCCTACACAATTCTATCTGCTTTTCCCCCTAGCCAGTAAATAACTATTCTTAGAGTGAGTTTTATGCATAATATAGTTTAACAAAAGAAAATTAATGGGATTTTGTGAAATGTAATAGAAAAACCCAACAAAGGTTATGCAAATTTTGAAAGTTTATTTTCCAGTCCTGTTACAGAATCCAAACCAAACTAATCAAACCCAAAAATTCTAAGTGTTCATTAAAATTTGCTAGAATATTGTTTTCATATGGCATTTAAGAATATTCCTTGCAGATAAGTCTCCTGCCCTGACAAAAATTGTCTGTGTGATAGTGGGACATGCTGCTTATGGTTTGTCCTGCAGATGCAGCAGTGTATGTGCTTCTTGGCACATCAGAGTTTTCTTGTGAATTCCCACCAATGCAAACTTAGATGATTGCACAGTTGGCACTGTGAACTATCCATGTCTGTCCCCAGTCTCTGATGCATCCTACTGTGATCTGACCATCTTACTTTTTATATGTGTTCTTTGGGAGAAAACCCTTTTTATTTATTTCTGTACATGAAAAAAAGCCCCAAAACATGTTGCAAGCGCATTTGGACCCAGTTAGGAATTCCAGGTCGTGCCACAGCCTAAACCACTGTTTTTCAACATTATAAGGAATTAATTTTTCTCCTTATCTTAGTTAAAAGTGAGCATGCTTAGTTGATCTGGATTTGTTCCTGCCCTAGAGCATTTCAGTTTTAGTCACTACATGACGTTGCTTAAATCAGGGATGAAGTCACAAATTGAACAGTAAGCCAGTCTTCTCCAAAATTCATGGGAGAGAACTGGTTTCACAATTATTGGCATAGATGAGTAAATAAATACTGACCAATGTGCAATTAAATTCACGTTAGCTTAGCTCTTTGTTGTTCTGTTTTATGCAATGAGTAAAGTGGTTTGGAAAGAATCCAAATCAGTTCATGCAGAGGCTGTGCACGTAAGAAGAAAACTACTACAAAGTCTGAACATGGAATTTATATGCACTTTTACCCTGAAAAAGACACTGTGCATATATATGTGTGCAAATATGTGCATGTACAATTACATCAGTCTAAAATTTTCACCAATTTACTGTCTTGCTTTCACATCATCATATGTCTTTTAAAATAAATTCCAGGTTTTCTTGCCCTTTAAGGAAAGGCATTTTTGTTTACTTTCTGAATAATGGTTTCCAAAGTATATGCAGTTCTCTACTGTTTTGTAGTAGTGAATCTGAAAAATGAAATATTTTAAAATGTTTTCATGCATTCAATTTGTAACTTTTTTAGAAAATAATACTTTAAATACCTGTAATTTTATCTAGTCAGACTAGTCTGGCAGTGCTCTAAATTCACCCTGAGATAGATGAAATATTCAAACTGTTTGGAAAAGAAGGTGCTTTCCTGTATACAAGTACTGTGCAGTTAAATTACAACTTATAAACCTTTCCAATTTAGGATGTGTGTAAATGTACTGAAATTGGTGGATTAGAGCAGTGTTTACCCTCTTGTGCTTTTTTCTTCAAGAGGGATTTAAGCTTGGTCTGTTGTTCTTTTACACATGCCCTCATTCTGAGCGTTCTAAGTATTATGAGCAGTTCAGACAATACTCTAACTATCATATACGCAAATTTAAAGCAGCTCAGTACAATACAGTGATGTTTTTGACTGTAAAATGTTTTCACAGTCTTGTGCAATGCAGCATGTCATGCTGCACGTGTTGATGTTTTGTGGTGACCCTGGCTGGGCTGTGCTGACGGAGTTCACGTCTTGGTGGGGGAAAATCAGTGTGGATGTCCTTACAGGCATGATGCTGACCTCGCTGGGTGTACTCTGTGCAGGCAGGATGGATGGGTGGAGGATGGCTGCATGGGTTTTACCATGCACTTGGTCCTGGCAGAACTCATCACAGCCTGGTGTTATGATTCAGACAAATCTGCTGGGTCCCAGAGTCAAGGCGGGGCCACCGAGATACCTGACAAGGCATCCTCATGTGTTAGAGGCCATGTGGCAGAAAATTCACCATTGAGAAGAAAAAGGCTCTCCCTCTCCCCACTTGGTGCTAATCATGGAGAACAATGCTGGCTGCTTTGCAAAATATTAGTACTGCTGTACAAAATCTGGGCCTCTGCTTATAGCCCGCTGAGTCAGACTTGTTTACTTCATTGAAGTATTAATCTCTGTCTCTGATTGGCAGTCAACAACTCCAGGCTCCAGGCTTAATAGAATTTCAAACCGTAGATTATGCAGTTTTGCTGAAAATATGAGGCTTCTATGGCGTTTTGAATGACATATTGTCCCTCACTCCCCTTTGGTCTGTTTTTCAAGGCTGAGGTTAAGATAGATAATTAATTCCTCCCATCCCAAGCCTTGTCTTTTAATTTAAGAATTTTCTTTAGCATCTGCCAGAATCTTCTGCATGCACTCCTGAGAGGTTAAGCAATGAAAGAGCCATTAAATTAAGTTCAGACATTAATTTTTTTCAGTAGGATGAAATAGCACTTCAATATATCAGGCGGCTTCTGGTTTATGTTATTTCATAGCGTGGCAAAGAAATATGAGAAGAAGCAGCTCTTTCTCTGGTTGCATGGGAGGATGGTGAGTGAGGAGGCCTGTCTTCTGGTTCTTCAGTTTACTTCTGTGTTAGCAAGAAGTAGGACACAAGGAGGGGATCCCGTGATAGCGAGAAGTAGGACACGAGGAGTGGGTCAGTGGAGTGAAACATCTATTTGCCAAGGGGACCTGATGTCCACACTACACAAGTGGGGAGGAGTTTAGCTGCACTCAGCTAATATTTCACTTTCCTCAGAAATACTCTTCTGTTGCCTGTAAAGCATTTTGTGAGAACAAAGCAGTGTCACGCTGTGTTACACTGTTCTTTGTGTTTTGAGGTCCATAAACACTGTCACTGGTGAGTCATTCCTGGATGGGGCTCTGATCACCCTCCTGCTAAGTCTGACCAATTCTCCATATTGTTTGTTTGCCTTTCCAAAAAACTCATATGATCTTTTCACAGACATAACTTCACCATTTAGAAATCCATGTATTTTAGCTTTTTCTAAGAAATACATGAAAGTAAATTAGTACGAAATCTGCTGGAATGATCTCTCTGGCAAACTGCACGTACACCTGCTGGTAAGTCCCAAACAGTAGCAGCAGGCTTAAGTTTATGTGTCAGAAACACAGCAAAGGAAAAATGGTCACTCTTGGAGTGCCTTGAATTAGCAATTCCATGCAGAATTTATGGCAGGTTTTAGTACACCAGCTAGTGAGGCTGAAATGTCACTGCTGCATTGAAATTCCATATGTGTCCTGCCTTTCTAGTTGTTCTGCTTCTGTGTGCATCCAGTCTCACTGTTCTTTTAGTAGGTTTTTAAAGATCCTCAGCCTTTTGCAATTGTATCATATAGCTGTCAATTCACAGACTTGACAACTTTCCTGCTTTTGGCAATATACTGTTTCTTTTATTGCCAATATATTGCCCTGCTGGTTCTCAGGACAGCTGGTAGTCGAAGCTGCTGATTGTGGGGAAGTTCTGGAGAAACTCAAAGATGCATTTACGAATCAACCCTCTTGGGCATGCACCGGAAGCCTCGTGCTACAGCTGTGTTAAATTACCTGTGTGTGTGATGGATGGACTGCACATATGAAGACAGTTTGCCTGGGCCACAGTTGGTTTGTGTTGCATCATTTGCACATCAATTATATCCGTGGTTAGGGTGCATAAGATCTGCCGGTGATAGGAGCTGGTCCCTGATATTGGTTCTGCTTATACATCCGTTAATAATTCTTCCTAAATGCTATATGTTAAGTAGGTATATATTTCAAACCCAAGAGAAAGTAAGGACCATCTTGAATTGGTCATAGAGTAACTATTCTCATCACTTCCATCTGAATAAAATAAGGTTTGAAAAATCCACTTTTTACTCCATTTCATATTTGGTATAGCTGCCCAATATGCAATTTCTTGGAGAAGAATGTTGTTGCCACCATACCAGAATACTATAGGTTAGTTGCATGGTGATATTTTAAAGATCTCAGTATATGCCTGGGATTAATTTCATTCAACCAAGCACGAGCATTGAACGTGAGTTGTTCTAGATGCCTCTGTAGTGAGTAGACAGGCATCTGTCAAGAGAGACTCCTCCCATCCCATCCTAAGCTATGTCTCCAAAATTATTTGTGCAAATAGCCCCTGGCCATTGACTGTGTCTCTGTAGGGAGCCTGAACAATTCATTTGTATGGTTTGTCAGCTGCAGATGATGAAAGCCATGAAATCAGATATGATGGAGTTCCAAAGTCTTTGCAGACTGTGAGCATTATGCCTGATGATCAATCTATTCAGCATCATTCTCCTTATTTAAAGAATTATTTCACGTTATTATTTTTCCACTCTGCGGGTAACCACTTTAACAAAAGTTGTGAAGAGAGTTCACCACAGCTTTAGATAGTGCTCAGCAGGTTGTTCACTTCTGTTGTCTTACATGTGTTGTTTTTCTCTTCTTTAGTCTTCTGGTACCAGTATCACAGTGGATATCGCTGTCATGGGAGAAGCACATGGGCTCATCACAGACCTTTTGGCCGATCCTTCACTGCCCCCCAACGTGTGCACATCTCTGAGAACAGTGAGCAACCTGCTCAACACACAGTTAACCTTCCAGGCCATCCACAAGCCAAGGGTGAATCCTTTGGTGTCCTTCAGTGAGAACTACACCTGCTCCGACTCAGAGGAATGTCCGGAGAAAGGAGAGAAACTGGCCATTCCCAAGGTGAGTACTGGAGCCTGTGTAGCATCTTGTTACTTGGCTCTCCCTAAAGGTACATCACTGGGATTTTTGCTTGTTTGCTTCAGATTAACATCCTGTGCACCAATGACAGCCTACAGGAAAAGGACAGCTAGTCTATCGTTGGTTTCATAGTAACACAATTCCTGTGTATCCCTCAACTCACGGTCAGGTTTACTTTGGTTCAGGCATGTTTAGAAGATGGTGTTCGACACAGAATAGATCACACAGATGGTGTGCATATTTTCTTGCAGCTGTTGGTTGGAGCTTGGGAGAAAAAATGACAGGGAGAAGAGCAAGCAGAAGCCTTTTATCATTCAGACTCACAGGTCTGCCCCATCACTTCTTACACAGAAACTCTCCTCCCACTCAAAAGATTTGAGCCACTGCATGAGGGGTGACTATTGTCGACAACGAGCATTGGGGAAATAAGCAGTAATATGAGGGACCTTTTTGCTCACTTTAAAGGTTAAAATTTGAAATTCTGTATGAATTTCAGTCTCTTCTTCCTTCCCTTAGCCAGAAGTGTGAAACCTATAGTAGTCAACGACAAACTCCCTATTGGTGATCTCCAGGTCTTTGGATCAAGTTTAAAATGTTGCATACCAAACAAACAAACAAAAACATTATCACTGTCATTAGTATGACAACTATTGTGAGCTCATGAGAAGTGGTCTTGAGAAGAAAAAGAAGACTGAACCAAAAAAATCTATTGCTGCTTTGACAGATGGCTTTATAAATGCTCAGGAATCTGACAAGAAATAACCAGTGTTAGCTACCCACGTTTAGCAAGTGAACAGCTAGAGAGAACATATCAGCTTTGAAGTAGTTTGAGTTGTATTTCTGTTGCTAATTAGCTGTCCTGCAAGGCTTACATTTCACTTTTGAAACAAAACCAAAATGCTTTTGTACTGCAGTCTCTCTTCTAAAATTAAACATAGGCAGAGTACGTTGCACAGGCAAATGCTTTTATGTTTTTACAGTTTAAATGGCACAGCCAGCGTTCATTCCAGCATTTCCCGGTATCCGAATTTCAACACTTGTGATTCTTGGTTTTATTATATTTTAGTGTGATGATAATTATTACCCTATTTGCCTATGTAGCAGCTGTATGTATGAAATGGATGTTCAAGGGTTTTTAACCACATTTTCCAATTTATTTTGGTGAACATGTCTATCATGGCTGCACTCTGGGCTCTGAGAGGAAAAGTTAAGTGGAAGAACACTGCCATCACATGAGCAAACACAGGGAGCAGATACCAGTTTGCTGTTGTGTAATACCTTATGAGGAGAAGACAAATGAATGATGAAATGAGCTAATGCTACAGAGAACTAATTTGACTGGAGTTCACTGACCTAAATGTGAATTATGGTTCATAAAACTAATTATTTGCAGTCCTTTATTTACCTGTATAAATATAGATTTAGGGTCTTTACCTTAAACATCTGATACTATTTTGGGTAAGGAGATAGTATGTTAACATATTTATCTTTAAGTTTGAGCTTCAGAACCACAGTTCTCTTCCATCTCATATTTCTTAACCCCTCGGGAAAGTCCAAGATCTCCATTGCAGAGATATATTTATTTTAGTTCTTAATTATAAACATTTCATGAGAACTACAAGAGAAACATCTTACAAAATTATAGCATCTGTAACAGCAAATCTGGATCCAAAGAGACTCTTTATCATTATCCCTTATTATCACTGTCTTCAAAAATTAACAAAAAATATGCGAGTCCGGTTAGTGGAGAAAAGGAAGAATCAGGTGAAAGAAAAATGCAGGGTGGTCAAGAAAAATCTGCTGTAAATAATGATGCTTTTTTTCTATGCTTATCAAGAGACATCATATCCCAGAGAATGAGTTTTATTTCAGTGAGTGACCTTTGGATTGGGGAGATATAGCAGGAAAAAAGTTGGAGCTCCTGTCCCTTATTTTTCTTACAGCCTTTCTTGCCTTGAGTCTCTGATTCTCAGAATTCATGACAGTTTAAATCATAGAATAGTTGAGGTTGGAAGTGCACCTGGAGATTGTCTAGTCCAGTCCGGGGATCATCTATATCCAGTCCCTCATGCACAAGGTTTTTCTAGGCTCAACCTAGATCAGGTTGCTCAGGAGGATGTCCAGTTGGTTTTTGAGTATCTCCATGAATTTAAACTTCACAGTCTCTTTGGGCAACCTCTTTCAATATTCAGTCATCCTCACAGTAAAAAATATTTTCCTACCTTCAAATGAAATTTCTCGTATTTCAATTTTTGCTCCATTGCCTCTTATCCTTTCACTGAGCACCACTGGAAAGAGCCTGACTCCATCTTCTTTACATCCTCCCTTCAGGTATCTGTATACATTAGTCAGATCCACTCTGAGCTACCCCTTCTTCCAACTGAGGAATTCCAGCTCTCTCAGGCTTTCCTTTTATGCCAGATGCTCCAATCCACTTTTGTGGCCCTGCTAATTTGTTTAATTGCCTTTGGCCACATCAAATGTTAAACTTCTGTGGCTATGGGGCTGTGGGTGCAGACCTTTTTTAAAACTTGAAACAGAAAGGATGGTCCAGACCCTGCAAGCATTTAAAACATTGCCTGTGTTGATTTGAGTAGAAAGAAGGCACTCAATACCTAGGATAATCCAGATTTACAGTACCTCACTAGTTGTTGTCAGGCAGAATTAATCAAATGGAAGTGGTTTTTCTTCTGCACCTTTGAAGGGTTTGTAAGCTGATATAAACTCTCAGCAACTGATTTCTCCTCAGCGCTTACGGAGAAGTTTGCCCCCAGGACTGCTGAGACGAGTGTCCTCAACTTGGACCACAACAACATCAGCCACAGGATTACCCACCCTGGAGCCAGCTCCGGTGAGAAGGGACCGCAGTGCCAGCATCAAACCCCATGAATCATCTTCATCCAGGTTACAAATTACCTCCTCTCTCTTTTGTGTTTCTGTTTGGGCAGATTTCTTTGGTTCTGTGTGATGATGTCCCTCGTTCAAAAACGCTGGCTTTGAAGTGTGTTAAAACTACTTCTTCATGTTTCTTTAAGTTGGGTTGCCAAAGAAGCAGCATTCCCAAGTTTAGTCAGATTGTGCCAAAATTATTCGTATTTTTGGGAAGTAAAATAGATTTTAAAAAAATCTATTTATGCTAACAAAGTTCAGAAGTGCAAAATAAGATTGGAAGAAAGGCAAAATATCTGGTTGAATTCTTCTTGATATGCAGCAGTTTCCTGCGTGGGTATTGCCCAGCCAAGAAAAAATTTTAACAAGTGACCCAGCCATTTCTAAGAACACACCTAGTGATGTGGTTCTGTCATTAAACCAGTTCATAAAGCACTTCTCCATCCTTCATTCTTCTCAGGGCCTGATCCCTGAGCCTGTATCATAAAATATGTGGTCTTCTCATGGAATGGAGAAAGAGAAGTTGTGTCTGCTCAGCTGCTTGCAGCCAGCAGATGACTTGTTTAGGGCATTTGCAAAGGTCTGAGGGCTTTCAGTCCTATGTACCTCACATTTTGGGATTTCCATGCTACCATAAAGGCTGAGTTGAGCTGCTTTTAACCCTCCACAGGGTCTGTGGCAGATAATCCAGTAGCAGACAGTGAAGGAAGAAGTTGAATGGATGTTAGCCTTGTGCAAAGAGCTGTTGTCTGTGACAAGAAAGGCTTGGCTCCCAGGCACTGTTAACTGTGATCATGTTGTGTAACTATTTCAAGAGGATTTCCTCCTTTCTGGCTCCATGAATATTCTTCTGCTCTAGTCAGAGAGGAACAGAGCCTTCAAAAGTAGGGGGGAGGGCAGTCAGTTGTGGTGCCACCCTGAGAGAATAAAGTTCAAGTCCCCTCCCCAACCTCAAAAAGGGTTATCATCTTGGAGATGGAGGAGAGAATGTGGAGATGTGCTTTGCTCTGGGGAAAGAAAGATCAGAACCAAAGCACTAAATTCAAGAAGAGAATTTAGAGTCATGTTATCAGAAGACTCACATGCTTTTCTGAAATTCAAAATTTGGTACCGGCAGCGGAGAAAAACACAGGACTTGAGAGGGCCTGAGAGCACCAGTGTTGGCTGTTAAATAGCTTGGGTGACCACAGCCCCAGAGAGCTGCATTCTTCCAAGGTCAGCCTTTCCTCCAGATGCGTAAACCATTCCCACAGAGGTGACTCTCATGCAGGGCATCGAGGTTCTCAAGGCAGCCTGCAAAGTGCACTCCAAAAAAACACGTGGCTGGCCAAAATTCCCTTTGTGAGGAGTCGCAGCTATCTCAGTAAAAGCTAGAACCAAATGGAAACGCTCTTCACTCATCGACCTGTGGTTCCCAGGGTCTGTTTGATTTATGCTGTTGATCCCAGTCTCACGTAGTATGTAAGCATCCCAAGAGGGAGAAGGAGAGCAATTAAATATTATTGTTGGTCCTTTCCTGCAGTTGTTATATAACTCTGCACGATGAGCCAACTAAGCAGGCTATCAATTCTTCCTATGTTTAATGTCGCCAATTGTATAATTATAGCTCTGTCAAGCCTCCCAACCTACTGTTTGTAGTACTTCTCTTACAGTAGGAGAAACAATGTGTATTCCAGAAAGGGAAAAAATGGATCCTATAAGTCTAGCTTTAAAAGTTTTGGCAGACCAAGAGAGATTTTCTTTCAAGAAGAATTTTGAACTGAAGAGAAAAAAAGTCTTGATTATCTGCCACTTCCCCTGTACCAAACCAAATTCAAGCACTCCACAGGTCACAGAGAAAGAAGTGTTTCATAGGTTGAAGGGGTAGGAGAGAGGCTGACACTAGGATTTCCCTGTGACAGATGTCACAGTTACAAAATCTTCAACATGTTCCTCACAGCCTGGAACATCATCTCTAGATTTCTGTAGTCACAAATTTGCAAAAACCTCCCTTAAATCTCTGTTTGAGATTAGTGATCTTGTATTTTTCAAACCCTATATCAATAAACTGGTAAGACATGGTCCTCTTATGGCTCGTAATGCTACAGGAAAAATAATAGAACTTCCACATTCTCTCCCTCAGTCACTTCTATATCCAGTGGTTCTCCCTTAGGAAGTCAAAGAATATGCTTGGGGGATTTTTGGGTTGTTTTGTTGGGGTTTTTCTTGAACTTTACAGTGGGCCAGTGTGTGATATTCTTCGTGTTAACTAAAAAAACAAAATAAAACCATAAAACAAAACAAACAAAGAAAATTTTTAAAAAACCATCTGGAATCTTTCTTTGTCTCATTTCATCACAGATTAGAGGCATTTGGGCCAATGAAGACAGCCAGCAATTATTTTTGTAGGTAGTACGTCTCTTACAAAACAATATGTTTGTAGAGGTGTAACACAGTGTTATGTGTTTTTTTTCTTTCAGAGTGCTTTTTTTTTCTTTCAAGTTTTTTTCAAGGTCAGCAGGAGCTAGGCTACTTTAAAAGTCTGTCTTCTGGCTCGCGTGTCACCTCATCACTTGCATGTGAGGCTGTGAGGGGGAACGTGGAGCCTGAGATGCCTGGTGGATCTGTCCAGAGGGCTCACAGGCCTTGCTCTATAAGAGCCAGTGCTGCATCCCTGCAAGCAGCTGAAATTTGATGAGTGGCATTTGGGAAAACAATCATAAATACAGTTTTCTCACTGTACAGAAGAATTTTGGTACAGAGTTCTAGCCTGGAGGCTGAAAGCGTTGGCCCATGCTGTTGTAGGGGACAAGCATTTGTTCCACACCCAGAGACAAATGCCCCCTATTTTCCCTCAGTATGTTTCTCTTGGGCCAATGTCTTCAGGGTGTGTCAGCAGGATTTTTTTGGGGGTGCAGCTGGCTAGAGTGTGAAGGGGCACACCAGGAGCCATGGCCATGCAGGGTGTGCTTCTGAACCTCCCCAGTCTCCTGAGGAGCTCCTCCAGTGCCCTAAGGGTTGGTGGGTGTCTGCTGTGGCACCAGCAGCAGAGGAGGCTGGGCTTTTAGTTGTACTGAGAACTTGTGTCATTTCTGGCTCTTTTAAGGAGGTGTTAAAAGAGAATATAAATTTAACTTATTTCAAGTCAGCTTTTGAGCCTCTGTGTACTGTCAGAACAACATAAAGAAGGCATCTGTATAAATAAAGTGAAGAGGCCTCAGCAGCAAAGGAAGCCCAGCTTTTGGAGTGTCTGCATTGTAAATATTTTTGCTGAACACAGTACTGAGCACCTCACAAACTGCAGTTCAGCCAGCCCATAGATGTTGTTTTCCTTATCAGATTTTGTGCTATCCCAGTATCACATATTTCTTGCTGCAGCTCCTAACTTCTTAAGATCTGCCATTGAGGCTTTTTCCTGTGTTGAATGGTGCTTGTTTGTGCTCTGGTTTTGCAGCCCTGACTCCTGGAACAGCTCAATTCTGATGACAATCACAAAGAGCAGGTCGTTCTCCACCTCCTATGCCATGTCTTCTACCAACCACCTGAATGCCAAAAGGCAGAGCCGGCAAGGTGAGTGGGCATCCATGGCTCTGTCAGGCTCACTTAGCTGCTCCCCGTGACTAGCAAGTGCAGCTGCTTTTGTTCTCTGTCCAATCTGCTTCTTTTCTTATTTTTTCCATCAATATAATATGGTTATTTCCTGTATTTAAGAAAAAACAACACAATGTCTTAAAATACTGTAGCTCATAGTGATACCATTGTAAATGTTTTGACTTTTTGATTTGTAGAGGTTAGTCATGACATGATGCAGCAAGTGTGATACAAAACTGTGTTGTGATTTATATCCATGTAATTCCCTTGACTACAACAGGGCTGAGAACAGTGTTTTCTGTAACATTTATGACATTAACTGTCTGTGCATATTGTCTGACTGAGATTTCCTGAAGCACAACATGCATAATGCCATTTTCAGCTGTAAGCAGCAACTGACCCATCTTATGCAAACATATCCAAGACAAAGCCTTTGTAACTCTGTCTATCTCTGTATATTTATTTATGAGAAAGTACAGGTAGTTCTTATTGATATTTAGAGATGAGAAATATGGGGCTTTTCACTCTGCTTTTTGAGACTCTAAAAAAAACCCATTACTCCTGTTTTAACTAGGGAAAGAAATTGAGAAGGTGACTTTGGAATTCATAATTAAATGTTTGATATGACAACCATGAAGCAGCCTTAATCCACAGTAATGTGGTTCTCCTCCCTGTACAAATGCAGGATAATATAATGTTTACTCATGCTTTAACTTGTAATTCAAAATTATCACAAGGCCTCCCTTTTTTATACGAACCTGGGTTTTTTCCAAACATGGAATAATGTTGAGATAATGTTACTCAGAGATACTGGCCAGAGACACTGAAAAAGTCAGAGAATCCCAGTTTGAAGATACAGCTGCACAATTACTTTGCATATCTAGCACTGTCACATCTCATCTCCTTTTCAAACTGAAGAGAACTGTACAACATCTCCTCTTGAACAGCAGCTGCTTTGTGTTATCACAGGGAAGACTAAGTAACACAGTATTATCTTAAAAGGTAATAGGCACATAGGCAATTGAATAAAATTAAACCTGGAAAATAATGGAGATACAGTACCAAGAATCCAGGAGTTTGTTGTAAAACAAAACAAATATTACACTTAGATTTGTAATTTTCAGAGATTACCCAACGAATTAAAAGGGAAAGGGGTGGGGTGTATAATATTTTGTATTTGAAAACAACACTTACCAACCCCATCAGTCAGTTGTACATATAGTAAATTCTGCTTTCAGAAAATGTTAATAGTCATCTCTGTTGCCCAAGTACGTGAGCTCCCACATGATGAAGGGGGATCTCCATTCCATCACAAGCAATTCCTAGGGGTATTGATGGAGAGGAATAAAAGTTTTGTGTCAGCATTTTGTGTAGAAGATTGATATTTCAATGTTTTAGGCTGTTTATAATCATGCAGTTTAGTTATGATTTGTTTTCATGTTCCAACTCAATAATTATTTCCATTTGCCATAGTTAATACTATTTAGACTTTTATATATTGGCTCCATTGGCAAGATACAATAATTATTAGTAGAGGTTGATCTAGCTAAATCTGTAAATCTGTTAATTTATAAAATGTGTCTTTAATTATGCATGAAAACAGCTGCTAGTTATATCTATTTTCACAAAAAAAATCAAGTGTTTTCATATGTCATTTCACATCACGTTGAAGTCACTGTTTTATATCTTCAACACTGCACATATGAAGAAGTTCAGGAGTACCTAAGCAGATGGATGTACTTAAAAAATTCTCTTTGTATTTTTATTCTTCTCTTATCCTGACTGTTCAAAATTCCTTGCTGTAGCAAGACACATTTACTCTCACGTTTGCCAATAATGGTTAAATGTTTGATTATTGAAAATAGGTTTGCATTTTTCTTGTAAATTTATTTATTTATTTGTGGTCACCTATCCTGGAAAATTACTCCTCAAACAAACAAACAAACAAACAGACAGACAAAAAACCCCAAAACACACACACCAAAAAATATGTCAGGAGACAGGAGCCTAGACTGGCAGTAGAAAGGCAGCTGTGATTAGAAACATTATTGTGAGAACTGCTGTTTAAATTCCCAGGACTTGTTTTAATCATTGAAAGATGACCATATGTATTGTATCTTCCAAATCATATCCTCTAAGGGTTATGAATATTACCTGGTAACATGTAGCTCAAAAATAGATAATAATCCAACTCAATCTTCTGCACATCTAACAGACTGCCAAGTGTTTTTAAAGACATATTTTTTTTGGATGGAAAACCAATATCTCAATGAATTCGTAAATGTGAAACAGAGGTTTTCTGTATTTGAAAGCAATTTCCCTGTGTCGTGGCCATCTGATAACATTTTAATTGCTCTGAAGGCTGTAGTTTTCTGATCTCAAGACAAGTGTAATATCCTACTTTCAGTCACTGAATTAAGACAGTAATACATGCCACATGTTTGCTGAAGAAATACCCTAATCAAAACTGAGGAGATGTTAGATATCACCAAATTACAGCTCCATAACTGTCAGAATTTTTTTTTTAACTCTTGGATCGCCAAAAATAAATCATATTTTAGCCTTGTATCACAGAAAGTTACTATCAGGAAAAAACACTGGAACTGTATACATATATCCTGCAAGGTTAGTATTTCATAAACTGAGAATAAGGCAACATATTGCCTTATTCTAAGATAATTTTTGTGTCTGGAATACATTTAGATAGTGGGCACAATTCAAACATAAAACCAGTTCAAGTTGCTAAGGTCTTTCTATCATTTGGCTTTGAAGACGAATGTGGTAAATTAACTGGGACTGAGTTCCTACAAACTTTAGAACAGGAGGTAACTCAATTTATGTGCATTTCCTTTCAAGATAGATTAAGTTTGTCCCTCTATGCTTTGACTTGAATTTTTTCTGAGACTAGAAAAATGTAAAGTGGATTCAAAAAGAGGGCGGCACTTTGTTTCAAGCTCTGGACCAGCTGATGCATTTCATCTTTGCAGTGGTGCTTAGACAGAATAAGGGTCAGAGAGAACTACATCTCAGTAGTGCTCACACGTGTGGATATTGGCAGTTCCTGATACTCTAGCTCAGGAATAACAATACCACCTGGTACAGGTAATGGTTGCAAGTTCCCTTAGTGAGCAACAGATATTGAAAACTAAACTCAAGCTGCACAAGGTCAAGGCCAAAATCTGTGAGGAGTGCAGAAATGGCACCGGAAGTGCAGTATTTTATATGATGGATGACCACTAAAAGTTGGGTTTTTTGGTTTATTCCTTGTCTTCAAACATGTAAAAATCCAAATTTTCTGGGAATGTATGTAAGCTGTTCTTGTCCTGGCTTTACAAATGGAGACAGCAAAACAAAGATGGATCTGGCATCTGCAGATGAGTCTGGGAACTTTGGAGTTTGGTGTCTCTGTCAGTAGAACATGTTGATACCAATAGTCACGCCACTAACACATGCTTTTCATTTCATGCCTGCCAGTTAGTGCATCCTGCTCTAGGGAAAATATGCTTTGTATTGTGAGCCAGATCTTCAGCAGGTAGAAGTGGCTGATACTAATGGAATTTCATCTCCCTCTGACAGCCCTGGGCTTGGCTCAGAGTGGAGTAGGGTATTCTCTCATTTTTCTGTTTGAAAGCTGTGCTGGTACTTGTGCATCTCAAGAGGAGTGTTTCTGCCCAGTGAACTAATGCAACCATTTGCCACTTCCGTTAATTGACAAGACTCTTCTTTTCTCTTGCCAGGTATCCCACCGAATATTTCACCTCTCACCTCCCCGTGCCATTCACCAATTCAGGGGACCCCTGCCACAAGTCCTACTGGAAAAACATCTTCTGTGTCATTTCCAGACTCTACAGATACTGACACCAAGCAGGGCTTAAAGCCACACAAAGTCTTAACTTCTTCTCAGAGTGCACCTCCACTGTCAGATCCTGTTATCAGCCCCTCTGTCATCTGCAGCAGGTAAGATTGTAATTTGACGTGAGTAGAATTACTTTCACATTGTTCTCAAGAACATGCTCTTTTGACCCACGTACAAGATTTTGTGATTTACTGCAGTATTGTGTATTGACATTTCAAGTTTGTAGTATTTGACTTATTGTGTAGACTGATGCTACAAAATGCTTTTAAAGTGGAAGAGTCTTAACTACATTTATTGCTTTTACTGATGTCAGATGGGCAGTCTGATTCATAAATAAATTCTTTGCCAGTGATTTGCAGATCCCAAAGTTGGATTTCATGTTAACAACCTGTGTTTTTTATGCCATGCCCCCTAATATGAAGTCACCTTCAGGTCACAGGCCAAGTCTTCCACAGCAGGCACCTGATGTTTGATAGAAAAATCTGACTGCGAGGGTTTAAAAGATCCTGGCCTGTAGGCTTCTGGTAAAGATGTGCCAACAATTCCTAAAGGCTACACAATTTTGAGCATTCTCTCAGGAGGAGTTGATGCTGTGTTCCCTAGGCAGAGTCAGATAATGTACAGTCAGGATTTTTTTTCAGAAATCAACTGCAGATAATCCTTTCAAGTACTAAGAGTTAGAGTTACACAGTTTAATTTCGCACTTTAAAGTAGCCCTTTATTAGATAACACAGGCTGATCCTGCTTTGCAAAATCAGCATTTTGGAAAGAAAGTTGTTCTGCTTATCTTCTCAGAAAGGATTCAGTTGCTAAATTGTATTAGTGGAGCTTGCAATATGTGTCCAGAACAGTGGGAAACACTGGTATTCCTAAACCTGTTCCAGTGCAGTTTCAGGGTTATCTTGCTCACTAGATGTTACTTCTGGTCGTAGCAGGGAGTGATTTGTGATTAGTGGCCAGCTGGTGGACAGCACATCATCTGAGGCTGGGTTAAATGCTGTCAAGTTTGACTATCTTTGGAAATGGTTTTTCCTTTCTGACTCCAGTCACGTGGCTGTGGATGTGTCTCAGGACACCGCGTGCAGGGCAAGGAAGGGGGTGTGAGAAAGTCAAAACTGAGACTGCAAGTTTGCTCAAGGGAGTCATCCTCACTGCAGTTCAGACTGGAATCCCAACAGGCTTTTAAGATGGGTTTAGGTAACTAAATAGAAATGTAAGTGCTTTTAAAAGTTTTCCAAGGTTATAGCAAAACTAGGACTTGGACTGATTAATTTGAAATGAAAACTGTATTACACAATAGAATATAACATAAAGGTGCTACTGTCTTATTAAACTGTGTCCTTATTACTACTTCAACAAAATATTATTACTTTCACAAGTAATAATTATGTCTGGAAGCCTTCTATTAAAGAGAACGGTTAACAGTTGCATTAAAAATGTCAAAAAAAATCAATGTAAGGTTGTTGTAGATAGTGATGAAATATATTTTCTTCATATGTCCAAACTTTGATTTCATTGTAATCCCTGGTAAAATGCTCATTAACTTTAATGTGGATGCTGTCTTATTGGATCTATGTAGATTATATAGCATATTTGAGTTTTCAGTTTGCTTGTTTTCAAAAGCTTAGACTGTGTAAGCATTGCAAATAGTTACATTGCTGACACAGACTTTGTTGTTGATTATTTGAAAAAAAAAACATATTATTTAAAATATTATGATGTCATTTGCTAATAGAATTGGCACCTACTGGTGCTAATAGTCTTTAAGTCCCTGTTGAAAAATTACAAGCATTGTCACATTTCTAGCCATTAGTATATAGACGTGTCAAATCCACAGATACAAGCTGAATTAACAGCACACAAATAATGCACCCATTAGTAATGTAGACACAATTAAAAAGCAAAATCAAAACAAAAAATCTCAAATACCAAAGAAATTAAAGGGCTAACAAGTTGTGAGAGTTAAACTAACACATTTTAAGTAAATTTTTAATGTCTGAGCTTTTGCATAGCAGGTTGCTAGTCTTCATGGTGTACAGTGTGGTATGTTTACTGCCAAAACCCCTGCCTTGCTGGGGAGCAATGCCAAGTCAGCAAACTTCTGCCACCAGCAAACCAACCCCACTCCCTACAACAAAAGAGAAAGTGAACTCTTGGTGAGTTCGGTGGTTTTAAGTCAGATCCACCCAGGCAGTGGCATCAAGATGGCAGTTTTACTGTACTTCTTTTTTACTAACATGGTGAAATGTGGTAGGACAGCGCAGTTTGAAGACCACAGTAAACAAGAGCATACACCAGGCATTGCCAGTAAAATAACTTGTAAGTAATCATGTATTAATTCTGCTTAGTGGATGAGGCAGGAATCCTGTGCAAAAAAACAATCCTGAAGTCAAGGAGGGTATTATAATGCCTGTGCACGAAAGGATTGAGTTAAAGTTGCGTGAGCACGTTTACTTCCAACACAGAGTAGATTTCAAGTGTGCTGCTGGGTAGCTCAGTATTTTTTTTTATTTCAATACAGTGCTTTGTGGACCATACTTATTAAATCAGTGTGAGTTTGCATATGTTCAGGAAATAAAGAGTTGCACTCATAGTGATGCAAAAACCTTGTGGCATTACACCCAATCAAAGGCTCTCTAGCATTGATCTTATGGAAATCACAAGGAATGCGGGACAGAGAAATTAATACTTTTTTTCATCTTGTTTAGCAACCTGAGTGATACATGATTTATTTGCTTGGCTATGCAGTACAGGTATCATTGAAGACAGATTTGCATTTTTATTTAAAAGTCTTTCAGGGATTCATTGTGTTTGCAGGAAATATCAAGCTCCAAGATGCGTTCTGGATGACCCAGTCAAAAGCCCTCTGGCACAGGATTTCAGCCATTTTTACATGTTGAACTTAAAATGGTACAAAGTTTCTAGTACAAAGTTTGACCAATGAAAATAATTTTGTAATAGTTGCTTTTCAAAGGTGGTTATATATGAGATGCCTCAAAATACTGACTCAAATCAGAGAAAGAAATGTTAAAGTGTCAGTCTTTTGGGGACAGATTTGATATAATACTGCTAAATGAGATTTCAGATTTGTTATGTTCTCTCGTTTTTTCGTGATACACCACTGTTTCTTCAGGTCTAGACTCAGTCATATTGGGACATTATAATTTGAAACGTTCCAGCTGGTATTGAATTCACAGTTAGAGCTTAAAGGGAATCACACACAAGGAATAAAGCTTTTTTACTGGAAGGGAAGAGCCAGACATTTGAAAGGGCCATGATATGGTGATCCCTCCCAGAATGTATTTTTGTTCTGGGAATGGTGAAGCAAACTCTGTCTTCTAATTTCATTGGTAAATGTATGGATGTCAGATCACTCACCTCATGTTCTGTCCAAAATGCCTCCTTGGTTCTTATGTACTTGGTATGTTGTCACTTTTATAGGGCAACTGGAGTACAGAACCAGGGGATAATTTTATTTTCTTTTTTTACTGATTAATTCAGAGAGTAAAAAATTCATTTAAAATGAAAGTCATGTATTACGGGCTTACTCTTGGCAACACAAATTTAATGGTGGTGGCCAGTTAATTCAAGGTCTTTTTTTATTTTTCTCCTTTTATTTTCCTGAGTTCCAATAAAATTTCAGCTCTCTCTTGTAGTTTTGTCTGGAGAATGCACCCTGGACCATGGCTTATATTGTATGACATAATCTTACACTGTCAGCAGGAAATCATTTTACATAATACTGTCTGATGTACGTTGTTCTCTATATTGTGCATATTTCCTGATGTATTTCAGCTGTGGCAGACCCTATAACCAAATAGAAGCTGGTGATGGGACACTAAATAGAAATGATGCTACCACACACACCCTGAACAGAACAGGTAATTCTTTGTCTGTCAAAACCACTTTGTTTCTTCAAATCCAGTAATGAAAGGACAGACATGCTTGTCTGTCATAAAGGGAGAATATATGTAGGTGAGGCTTTGAGGCCTCTTGCCTTTTTGTATGTATAACATGTACAAAATGGTAATGAAAAATGGAGTTAAAATATAAAAGAAATATGGTTTCCCTCATTTAACTTAATCAACATAAGTAACGGCCCTCAAAATATTTTTACTCTTCAATCCCTGGTCCCGTTTTTTACACTCTGCAGGGTATATGCCTTTGGACAGATTGTCCAGCTTCAGACCCCGCCAAGCAGCACATATGTATTATGAGTCAGAGATCCTGTTGCTGTTATTCGGAAGGTCACGGGGTGCCTTTCGTGGAATTCTTGCCGTTCGCACACCGAGCTCTGTGGTTTGTGTTGTAGATGATCCTGCGCAAGCCACTTCTGACTACGAGACCAACAACAGCGACAGCAGCGACATCGTGCAAAACGATGACGAGACAGATTGCTCCAAGGAGCAGACACGGAAGGGATCTGTCTGTAGGTCCTACACACCTGAGACCATCATCCTGCATCCCTTGACACCACCTGAGGTAGCTTGTCTGAGTCCCACTCGCACAATAGACTGAGTGTACGCTGATACGGAGTGGGAAAAAGGCCAAACCAAAACTGAAATCTGTCAAAAACCCACCCCCCCAAAAAAAAAAACAAAAAAACAAACCCTAGGGCTGTCTAAAGATTGTGATCATGGTTTTAAGCAACAATTGCAGCAGGAGGATTAACTTTCAAGAATGGAAAGGAACCATTGAAATGTGTGAGGGCTGCTAAGCACTGGCTGCTGATGAAACACTAACCATCTATTTTGATGGATAAAAGTTTGTGGATCTAGCATTAGGCATTTCTGAAATGTTTGGCCTCTGTGTTAGTTTCCTTTAAAGGGCATGGGTTGGAAGGAAGAGAAATGATCTTCTCTGACTAGCAGCATGATAAATAGTGTTCCTGTTCAGCCACTTCAGCTTCTCAATGGGCTTGCAGTCTTCACTAATAATATATACTGTGGTCCTTATTTTAAAACAAATGAACACTGCTCTGAGGGTGCTGCAAGATATTATTATTGGTACATGCCTTAAACGTAAGAACATTGCAGTATGGTGAACAAGTGCTGGTACAGCTGCTGTGTTCAGCTGTAAGCTTGGTTGAGATGCAGAGGAAAAGCTTTGTTTAGTTCCATTTTCCACAGTTCGTTGTACAACTGAATTAATAAATTGAAGTTGGCATGAGCTCTTGAAAAATTTACTGTAATCTGTTGGAGTTGGACATGCTGAGAGAAGGCATTTTGCTTGAAATGTTTTGGCATTTACTCATCTGCAGTTTCTTAGTAAAATGTAATTCTAGGAAGTATACAGAGAGAAATGTGAAAGGTGGGGCACAATCCATCTTTTTTTTCTGCAGACCTTGGAAACCAGGTAGGTTTCAGTTTAAGAAGCAAAGGTCTTCACTTGGACTGAGCTCCATTAGCCTTGTTGGATTGTAATGAATGAGTCCTGATGGAGAGGTAGAAACCAAGAGCTTTTCCCTCTGCACTGCAGCAAATTTTACAATGAAGACAGATTCCCTTGGAAATGAATGAATGATTCCCATGAGTGAATGAATGTGTCTCATGGATAAGTTCAGACACTGATGTTTCATATACAGAATTTCCTATTCATTCAAGTGAAACACATTATAAAGGAGAGTGACTTGCTGCAGGGCTGGTAGAAATGAGGACATCTCCGCTGAGCTGAGTAAAGTACCATCGACTTACAGATGACGCTAATGGGATAAGAGCATAATGTTTTGCATGAGATGCTTCACTGAACTGACACTCCCCTTTATTCTGATTTCTGGCACAGGACAAGCCTGTACTTGCTCCTGAGCCTCTGGTTATGGACAACCTGGATCCCCTGATGGAGCAGCTAAATAGCTGGAACTTCCCAATCTTTGATTTGGTGGAAAAAATTGGAAAGAAATGTGGTCGGATTCTCAGTCAGGTGAGAAGTGTACCTTGTCTGCAGTGTCTGGCTTAGAATATTGACAGATTTAGACACAGTAGTGTTAAGACCCATTGTCCTAACAAGCTGGTCATCCAGTCATGATCCCTGTCACCTAATTCAAAGCTGACAATACAAACTCCATCTCACTGCATTCCTTACTTTTAAATGTCTGTGTTTTTTAATTTAAAAATGTGAAAGGGTAAACCACACACCTATTTTGCCTGCTGCCCTCTGCCAGTGAGTTTACATAAACATTTCTGAATATTCTCTTCTATCTGCAGAAGGTGCTGCCACCCCTTACTGAGTTCTATGTGAAAGGATTTCTCATAGGGTACAACATGGGAGGGCTGAACAGTAAATATATGCAAACTGGTGCAGGATATACAGAGCTTTGTTCCTCTTTTATACAGGAGATTTCAGTCAGGCTATGCAAGAGAGCAGAGTTTGAGGAAATGGGAGGAAAAATAGTCCTTGCTATATTCCTTCATTTTTAAAGAGTTAGAACTTTGATAGAAAATTCATATCATTATTACATAGGGAAGACTAATTTGCTATGACTCAGAATGGGAGAGCTTGCTAGTCTTTCTTTCAGTTATCAGAACTATCAGGGTTTTATTCCTTTCTGGCAGTTGAATCCAGTTACTGACACAGCCTGTCTCTACCCAGCAGGATTAGTGTCACTTCCATAATCACTTTCCTGGCTGAACTTTCTACTCTGTTATGCCCCTTTTCCTGGCACACTGACAAATTAGCCATTCTTTCTTATGGAAGTATTGAAGATTATTAAACAGGAAAGGCAAATAATTTTTATTATTATTTAGGGATGGAAGGAAAACAAGCCCAAGAGAATCTGAGTGAACTAGTACCACTTTACAAGGCATTATGTAGTGATGAGTGCTGGAGAGAAGAGATAAAGTTAATTAGTACAATAAGGGACAATTAACACCCCCCCACAAACACAGAGGTTAGTGTGTCAGGCAGATCTCAGTGTAACAAGCACCAGAGAATGCTGTATCAAATCACAGTCCCTTGGTGGTTACCTATTATTCAGCTCTATTCAATTATCCAGTGGTCAACAAGGAAAACCATGGCATGAATTCAAATATATTCTGTTGTCTGCCTTTTAGTGTTCTGTAGCTTGGCAAACAACATCTGTGCTTGACCAGCCTGCCAAGTCTCTAGGTTAATTTTGGAGAAATAGGAAAATTGTGACTGGATGTGGTTATTGAGACACTTTTGCACTAGACAGTGAGTGTGTGATTAAAATACTCTTCTGGATCATATTGGTCAGGTTTTTTTCTGATAGCATAGAACAATAATAGAAGGATAAATTAAACACAAGGCCAGAACTTTCTTTTAAAGGCATGACTAACCAAAAGTTTGGGTGATCCAAAATTTGTTCTGGTTTTGCATGGGTATTTCTAAAGATTTTAAGCACTTTATCAAGTTACATGGAGTTCTGTGCCTCTGGGGACAATTTCCCTGTGCCTCCCTCAATTTGCTCTAAAGCTCCACACTCTCTTTCCCAAAATCTTCTTTTTGCAGCTTCTGAGGGTGTTATACACTTCACAGTGCCACAAAATGAGGCCTGTAAAATAAAAGAGAAGCTGTAATAAATAATATTTGTGATCAAAATTCACCATTTTCTGTAACAGCTGTTTATAATAACTCCCACTCCCTAACAGGAGAATGTAGCAAGTTCAGCCTTGTTCATAAAACATAGATCCTTTAGTTCTTTCCCCCACCTACTCAGATATTTCTTATGAAATTACTCTCAGAAATAAGGGAACAAAAGTAAATAAATCTTTTTCTTTAGCCAAAAGTACTTTTTTCCTTTTGTATTTTTTAAATCCTGAGATATTTTAAACAAGGGAAAACAAAAGGTCTAATGATTTATTCTCTGTATTTTGCTATTAAATGGACTCATCCATTAAAAAAAAAAAGTAAATTAACAAGCTGAATTAACTATGTTTGTCTTGCTAGGTTAAATTTATGGGATGGAACAAAGCAGAGTTGACACGTGCCTCTAGGGATGCATTCGGTTTAGAAAGCAAATGCTGGCTTAGCATCTTTAAAGCTGCTTGAGATGTCTGTTTCTTCTTTTTGGAATGTTAAATTGATTTAGACATATAAAAATACCCTAAACCAGTCAGTGACCACAAAAGCATCTGTGCAAAGTACAGTGGCAAGCACTCTAAATGTGCGTGATAGGGTTTGGAGAGGAATGTACATTCAGTCTCACTTCAGTCACACTTAACACCCTTATCACAGCTCCTATAAAACTAAAACCTGTGGAAAGTAAACTTATTTGTCTTGGAAAGCAAATACCATGAAAAAAGAATAGGCTAAAGTCAAGGTTTAGCTTTTACTGCTGGGCCCATAGAGATGAGAAGTGGAGGTGCTCCTATGCTGGCAGTACAGGAGCAGTGTCAGGGACAGGGTGGCATCACTGCAGGGCCTGGGAGCTGGTCCCTGGGTGGTGCCAAGAGGATTGTGTGCTCACCTCACCATCACACATGGCTTCTGCAGAGAGAAAGTGCAGATATGAACGGGAGAGGGAGATCAGTCCTTGAGGGATGTCACCACAGAAGCTCTTGTGAGCCAGAGACAGTTGCCAACCACTTCAAAGAAGCACACATCTGAGGAAAGCAAATACAGGACACAAAAAAGGAGTGCAAGTGGTTTGCCTGCAGACAATGAGAAGGGAATTGCTAATCTAAACTTTGCAGGAGAGCCATTCCTGTGTGCCTGCAACAGCCAGGAGATGGGCTACATGTGAATAACAAGCCCCGTTTCCAAACCAGCTTCCATTACAAATCATGCAGAAGTGCTTTTCCTTCTTCAGGCAGCACTGCCAGAAATATCTGAGTTATAAATGATTCAGTCAAGCATTAGAAATCGTGGCAGAGACAAGCAGCAAATGGAGGCTGGAGGGAAGGGGCACTGTGGGGCACCCACTGCCAAGTTCCTGGCAGCCATTGGAGCTTCCCTGGGCTTGTCCCTGGAGCAGGGACCACACCTTGGCTGCAAGGGCACCGTGCTTAGCCCATGGGATTCTAACTCCCAGGGAGCTCATGAAAGAGGATGAGGGTTGGGAAGGACAGATTTAAAAAGACAGAAGCATTTTAAAATGTTTAATCCAGAGCAATGAATAAACAAAGGTTTACAGGGGTTTTTTTTATTATTTTTTTTTAAATGAAAGAAGTTAGGTAGTTGACTTTGTGGAAGACATCAATGCCCTTTTTTCCTCCTTTTGACTTGCCCTTACCTCTGACTTCTCTCCATTTTCTAAGAGAGAAAGACAGAAAAACAACCAAGATGTAGAGATGAGTTTCTTGGCTGTGGAAGAGCTGTCATTCATAGCCATCACAGTCAACTTTGCTTCTTTTCAATTCTGGAATTACCCACCTCTCAAAATCCAAGGGAAGAAAAAACATGCTTTTATGACATGCTTTATTTAAGATGCCTGTCCAGTACTGCTAGTATAGAACAGTAAGGTTTGGTCATGCAGAATAATATTTCCTTATGCTTCCTCTTTTTATACAAAAATATTTTGATGGAAATAAGAAGCTTACATTTCACTGATACAAAACTAGAATGTAAGATTCCTCAGCTCTCTGTAGGTGAAAGACTTAAGCCATGATTCCAGATAGATAAAAAGTGTTCTATGCAGATTCTAATCCAAATTATACATAAGGTCACTTTCTTCACTCTTCCTCAGCACAGGAGGGTCCCATGGGTTTTTCAGAGAGTAAAGTTTTGCCTTCTGTAGGCCCTACCTTTTATTCTAAGCTCATGTCTTCCAGAGCACGGTAAATTATGGTAGGAACAGAAGTAAGAGCTGAGGCCACCAGCAGAACCCCAACTGCCAGATATTGGTCATTAGAGGGTCATCATAGATGGGGTCAGACACCACACTCAGCCTGTCTCTGCATCGTCACTGCCTGTTGTAATGCTTTGCCAGAGTTAGTTCACATGCAGGTTTTTCCTGCTAGGGAATGACTGTGAGGAAAGGCACAGGGAAGATCATTAATGCTGCAAATTCATATCCTTTTTTCCTGTTCTTACTGTAAAAATCCACAGCGGAGGAGCATTTGAAGTTTATGTTCATTAAACTTTAGGTGCAGCTCACAAGTCCCAATTTATATACACAATATACAGAAAGAAACATTTGTGGGTAGATGTTTGATTTACATTCAGGTGTAAAACACAAAAGGTAATTTGGAACCATTTCTTATCATATAGCACTCATCAATCCAAATGTGCTTCAGACTGCTTGGCTCTAGGCGGTTCATTACCAGACAGATGGCATCAAAAGGACAGAACAGCTCACAGCAGTAAATAAATAAAGAAGCTGAAAGGCTTTAGGGTCCAATTTCTGAAAGAAGTGAAAAGGTCAGGCAGTGATTTTACTGTGCCCCATTGTTTTGTATGTCAGGTTCAAACTTGTCTTCAGAGGTGCCCGTTTTGCAGCAGCTGTTGTCTGCATTTCCGAGCATTCGTCTTTCCTGAACACCTCCTCACTGATCCATCCCGTTCTCCCTTCCAATGTATCCTCTCCTGGATGTTTGCAGTCATCTTTCCATGCAGGAAGACTTGAGGAAGCTCTGCTTCCTAAGCCACTTGCTGCCTCTGGAATCCTCTTTAAGTCATTTTTTCCATTTCATTTCCAAAATGAGAGCAAAGGAAGGGAGATAATGCATAGAATACAAATAGTTGCCCCTTTTGTCAGTCCTTCACTCGTTTCTCCCTTTTCTGGGAATTAAGTCAAGGATGCTCCTTGGAGAAGTTTGTGGGGAAATTTTCCCCAGCCACTGAAGACCTCTGAACATCGTGTGTGTAGGTTTCTGAGGTGCCTGCAAAATTTCAGGGAGGGCATATGTCTGAAAGGAAGAGAAGAACATCTGGAAGGGTGTAATGAAGGAATGAGGAGGACTGTTTGGTACTAATAGCTTTTCTGTCTGGCTGTGTAGCCACATTCCTATGGAAATGCAAATAACTGCAGCTATAGCTGGAACAGGTGAACTTCAGAAAATACTACTAGGAAAGCAGGTTTTCATGGGGTTATTTGACCTAAGGAGATTTATATCTAATTTTTAGAGGTTTTCTGATCTATTTGGCAACATGGGGTCTTTTGTTTGGTTTTTTTTTTCAGGTATCATACAGGCTTTTTGAAGACATGGGACTGTTTGAAACCTTTAAAATACCAGTGAGGGAATTTATGAATTACTTTCATGCCTTGGAATGTGGATACCGAGAGATACCTTGTAAGTAAAAATTCCCAACACGTAATGATGCTTCCTTAAAGTTTTGAGGATTTTCCACACACTTGGGTATTGAAGCCTTTCTTCTCTCATTATAGCACCTACTTTTTTTCTTCTGCTACATCACAACCAAATGGATGGTTCTCTAGTAAGAGGCTGGTGCTGAACTGCAGCCTCTCATGGTTTGGGGTTTTTTTCATGTATTTCGTGTTTCGTGTTGTTTCGTAACAATTCATGGCAAATTCTCTCCAAGCCAGAAACCACATAAAACTATCAGGTAAAGAACTGTTTACTGCTGATGCAAGTGTAGCCCAGTATCCCAACTGGAGTTCCTTGAAAAATTTACCCCTCAAAAGCAACTTGGACTTTTACACAGCAGCAGTGCTACGCTACCAAAGGAGATGAGCTTTCTAAAGCAGATAAAGTATGCCAAGTACATGATTGCATCCTGTTCTTCTGCAACTACATAATGATACTCTTTTCAGTGGGAACCATTTATTCACCAAGAAACCTGCTTTCTGTGATCCTCAAATTATTTACGAATTCAAATCCAATTTACCAAACTGCTTCAACTGGAAAAGACAGTTGTTTTCCAAGGGAATAGAGGGAGTTATTACTTCCTTTTTTAGCTGGCAGATAACCCCAGTGTTGAGGAACACAGGACATGCTGTTTTCTCTGTGATCACAGAAAAATATATGAAACATCAGTCTAAGAAGTCATATAGTCTCTCTGTCAAAATATTAAATACCAACTAAAACAGCTACAGTGGGAAGGATTTGAGGAAAGCTCCCTGAAATGCCTCCCGGACAGGTGCTTTGGACTTTCGAGCGTCCAATTTCAAATCTTTCCTTGTGTTTGAACCAGATCAGGGACTTGAAGCAGCAGATTATAGCCTGAGGATATTATAGGTAGAAGTCTCACTGTCTGTCTGTCCTACTGGAGCCATTTCTTTTTGTTTAAAATATTTAACTGGTGTCTGGAATTTTTGCGAATCTAGCCCTTTATTTAATTGTTTTCCTTAGTTGTGTTTTGTTCTTAGTAGAGAGGAATATTTTGGCTAATACAAAGTTAATTTACCTTCCCGTTTTTCATGTCTGCAAAGAGGTAAAACCCAAAACAACTCCCATGCTCTTGATAAAAGTCTGTTTTGCCTCTGCTTGCTTGACTGGCACGAGATACCCACTAGATGGTGCTGATATCCCTCTGTCGGAAATATCCTTCCTGTTTAACGGAGGGGTCCTTGTCTTTGCATCACAGATCACAACCGAATCCATGCAACTGATGTTCTGCATGCCGTGTGGTACCTGACAACTCAGCCCATCCCGGGGCTCCCAACTGTGATTAATGACCACGGGTCAGCAAGCGACTCAGGTATATTTATGTGTGCAAGTGCCTGTGTTGTATTCCTGAAGTTTCTGTCACAAAATTTGCTGTGAGAAAGCCAAGAATTGAGGATTGCTTGCAGTACTTGTTATTGTATAGACTTTAAAGTTCAGTAGCTCGATGGATGTTGAAGGTGTTCGAGTATGTTTGTGTAACTTTGGAGAGAATGGAATTGGTCCTCCAAAACCTAATAATTTACATTTAATGATGTGGGAATGCAAGCCTTTGTGGTCATGTATAACAGCAGATCTTTGTTAACATTTGGGGTTTTTTTCAAGGCAGACTGTATTAATAGTGCTTTTCAATGCTGCTTCAGAAGTATTTTAAATCCTTAACCCCTGCATTGTTTTGCTATTACAAAATTACTGAGACATGCAGGTAGTGCCGTGCACTTGCTGCTGCTTGACTGTCATGAAGTGTTTTTACCTTTCCCCACAGCCTCCAAAGAGACTTGTTATCATTTGGCAACCAACTTGCAAGACCAATCTTCTGCTGCTTTATGATTGCTTATTATGGGAAACTGTTCTTTTTGCATCTTTATGTTAACTTCTCCAGGTCAGCTGTAGCAACTGCTGGAATTGTCTGTGTTTTATGGGAGTTCTTAGAGAGTTACTATAACAGCAAGAGTTTTTTCTGCAGAAACTACTCTCATTTCTGCTCTTTTGTTGTTGTTTGGTTGGTTGGTTGGTTGGTTTTGGTTGGTTTTGGTGTTTGTATGGCACACACATATCTGTGAAACTCTTCATGATGTTTCGGTGGGGTGGGAAACGTTTTTATTCCAGGAAAAATTTATTTGCAAGGGTTGTTGATATCTTTGTAGGTGAGGTAAAATAGGTGGAATAACAGGGGTTGAGTCCTGCGGCTTTTTGGTGTTTTTTATTTGAAAGACATTGTTAGACTGCATGCAAGATCTATTTAAGCAGATTAAATTAGCAAAGCATCTCACTCAGTATCTGTCTCTGATAGGTGTATTCAAGCTGCTTGAAAAACAGGCTGATAAGAGGATTATCAGCAGAGATTTAAAGTCTAGAACTTTGTATTGGACTAGTCTATAAGATGACTTTGTATTGACTAGCCTAGGTGAAAAAGTTAGAGGAAGAAGTGGGAAGATCAAGTTACCCACAAAGCTCCAGCATGGCTGTGAATCCATGTCTTAATGCTTGTAGGTTACAGAGTTTGAGAACAGGTTCTGCTGGATGGCTGGAAGATACCCAGGTGGGATCAGAAATGGTTCCTTTCCGGTTGTTTTCCTTGTTGCACTGGATCATGCACACTGTATCAGAAAGCCTGGAGGCCAGGGTGCTTTCACTCTGCTGCTATGTATTGTAATTTTGCTCCTTCTCTGAGCGGTGAGGATGTTTTTATTGTTTTAATTCATTTGTTTCTGCTCAGATTCTGACAGTGGAATCACTCACGGCCACATGGGTTATGTGTTTTCGAAGACATACACACCTACAGATGACAGCTATGGATGCCTGGCTGGCAACATCCCTGCCCTTGAACTGATGGCTCTTTATGTAGCTGCAGCCATGCATGATTATGATCACCCAGGAAGGACCAATGCCTTTTTGGTAGCAACGAGTGCTCCTCAGGTAAATAGATCTCAACCAGGGTTGCTGTTAAGTTTGGAAGGTCTTGATGACAGGTTTTCCTTGCCAGTGGTACCTGTGGCTTCCATTAAGCACAAGTCTGCCAAATATTTTGAAACAACTTGTCAAAGTGACAGAAATAATCACTTCACTTAGGGATTGCCAGTAAGAGTCTTCTTACACACCCTCAGTTAGCAGAGCTGTTAAGAAAGCTACTGATAAACTCTGTCAGGAGAAGCTAAAGCTCTGCTGACTGATACAGAATCTGTAACTGTGAAGTAAGGGAAGAATTATTCTACCCAATAAGGCACAGAAAGATTAAAATAAAATAAAAACTTGTATAGTTAACCACACCTTGCAAGCTAGTCTGTGCATGATCATACCATATTTTCTGTTCTTTCTATTGAACATGAGCAGCTGCTCTCTTTTATGAAAGTATTTTTTCACTATGCATCTATCAAGGAGGAGGGGAGTGTGGAAAATAATCCCAGTTTTATAAATGTAGAATTGAGGCTTGCCTAGGGTTACACAGAAGGTGCTGTCAATGCTGGGAGTTGAATTCAGCAATTCTGAGTCACTTTTTATTATGAGATCATCTTTCCTTGCTTTGCATAGCTGACCTGCCTGGCTCCAGCATACTGTGCTGAAAAATACTTCCATGGACAAGGAAAGAGAAAAGGATAGTTTAATGATGACAATTGGGTAGGGATGCAGAAATTCTAGATTTACTCCCCAGCTGGCATCCAGACTTGCTCTGTATCAGTTTCTGTCTATAGACTGATAGTAATACTTCTCATCCTTGCAAAAATCTTTTCTGTGATAGAGAAGTTTGATACTCTGGCCAGATAGATAAATTGATAGAAGACATGTACTATCCTTAAATCTAATTCTAAGAAATGAGTGCTTTGTGGTTGTAAAAATAAAAAAAATTAAAAAAAAAAGGAAGTTAGATGATTAGCTTTAAATAATGTCCCTAGTCTGAAAATAAATTTATAAGAAAAAAATCAAATTCTTCCTGTTATCTTTTGGGGTTTTGGTTTGTTGGTTTTTTGTGGGCTTTTTTAAAACCTGATATCACCTGAAATTTGATGAACCTATATTTGGCATCTAGGTTTTTTCTTCTTTTACATGACAAGCAATATCAACTTCCAGTAATGTTAAAGTGCTACTGTGTTAAAAATCTGCCTTCAGGAGTTGGGCCTGGGTAGCAGAATATCTCAAATCCTTACTGTGCAGTTAGGCAAGATGGTCTGTGAAGTTGAATTTCTTCAGCAACATGTACTCTGGCATAAAGAACAGATTCTATATTTTAGGATAGAATTGAATTCTTTCATCTCTAGGTGACATAAAAATATCATTAAAGTGAAAGCACTGGAATGTATGTGTATATATTTCTGTAAAAACTTAAAAAACTTATATCTATCTTACATGGAAGCATATTTCTGAAAGCTTTTCTTTCTATAAACCAAATTGTCCAAAGACTGAATGCTGCTAAGGTGGAGAGGTTTCCTGGATGGTTGTTGTCCCCTAAAGTCCATTTTCTACATCCTTCTTTAGCTTCTGAGTGAAATTGCCATCTTTATGAGAGTTATGCACTTTGTTTCAGTAAAGATTTCACCTGTTTTGGATTTTAGCACTGAGAAATCTGTCAGGCTGAGTGTGTGTTGTCAGATTGCAAACTGGAATTTCGCTTGTGTCTGTGTTTGGAATTGATCCAACATGGACAAAATTGTCAGGTGCAATTACCAAAGACAATAATCCCTGTTAACTGAGGTTAGCTCTAAGAAACAGGGAAGCACACAACCCTATGTTCTATTAGTCATTAATCTGTGGCCTGAAACAGAATAATCTGTTGTCATATGATACAGTTTGGTCACGAAGCAAAAACCCTGGCACATAAAAGACCCAGATTTTTTCAAATCAATCTTTCAATAAATCATCACCATCAGAACAATTCTGGTGTCTGCTATTAGTCCTGCCCAAATCACATCCTCAGACCTTGAGAAATTCTTTTAAAATAAAACCTCAACAAACAAAACAACCAAACCTGAACCTCCCTCGAGCATCCACCCCCATGTCAATCCCGTTTTTGCACTGCTGTGATTTTGCTGAGATGTTTCTCAGCTTTCCATTGCCTGCCTTGCTTCCACAGGCAGTGCTGTACAACGACCGCTCCGTCCTGGAGAACCACCACGCCGCTGCTGCCTGGAACCTTTTCATGTCGAGGCCAGAGTACAACTTCCTGGTCAACCTCGACCACGTGGAGTTCAAGCATTTTCGCTTCCTCGTCATTGAGGCAATTTTGGCTACTGACCTGAAGAAACACTTTGATTTTGTCGCCAGATTCAATGCCAAGGTAAGGTTCGGGTTCGGGTTTCTGGTGGATGGTCAGGAAAGATTGTGGTTTTGGCCACAGCACAGCGAAAACTCTAGAAAGGCTGCTGTGTTGCTGTTTCCTCTGATTGTCCTTTTGGCTGCCATAAAACATTCTGCTGAACAGTAATCTGGCCTTTCTGTTGTTTTTTACTTATTTAAATTTAGTGGCACAGCTTCTCTTCTTACATATGTTTAGTGTTTTCAGAAAGTGGTTTAAGGCTAAAGATATTATGGACTATTTGAGTGTAAATCCCACTTACATCCTCCTTTTCAACGTTGTTTTCTTGTTCAATAGCACTTAAGACCTATTAGCAAAAGACTCGGGGGAAAATAGTCAAAGGTTTTATGAAGTTTTCATAGTGGCTAAATACTTCCAGTGAATTTGTATTGATTTAATCATACTGCTATATCATCAAGGCATGGAGATCATAACAATTGTGAAGTCATAATTTCAAATGCAGGGAAGCATGATCTTTCTTTCCTACTTCCTTTCAAATGGGTAAACCCCAGAGAAGGGTCACTAAAGATCTTTCCTGCACACTCCATTCAGTGAGTATAAAATCACAACCCTGGGAGAAACCATTCTTAAAATTCATTTACAGTTTCAACCTAACTTATTGGAAACCACCTCCTATCAAGTTACTTTAATAAATTCCATCACCCATCAAAGCTGTTGGCATGTTAACTAGATATCTGCCTTTGGAGCTGGTACTGCCTTCTTGTTCCTTGTGAGAAACATCCCAAGAACAATGTGTTTCTTATCCAGGCCTAGGACCTCCTAGCTGATTCCTCTGTATAAAAATGTGCAAAGATGGTTTTCAGTTTCGCTGGCTGACATCTTTTGGGGATGTTTCCCTGATGTCTTCTGAAGAGGTGTGACTTGATTCTATGATCATACATTGGTCCAGAATCAGACGTGTGAATAATCAGTAAAATGTAACTAGTTCTGAGCACTAAATAAGATCACTTGTTTCATTTTCCTTTCTGGACTAGATTGGGAGTTACACTTAGCCCAGTCAAACTTTTGCTCACAGAAGATTAATTTGTTTTTCATAGCATATTGCTTAGTACTTTTACTTTTTTCACAGGCCCATATGTAAAGGATTAGACCTGAGGGACCTAGGCACTGCATTGTTTGGTATAAAACTTTGAGGCTCCAAATAAAATTTAATCCAGGAATTTTAGGACTCTTGGAACATTTGGATTAGATCATATTTTGAAAACAAAGCTGGGAAGAGTTCTGAACAACTGGGAAGTTGCTGCTTTGTCCCTTCTGAAATGCAGCCAGAGGAAGCATTGCTGCTGCAGTGTTTTTGTACAATAACTCTTTGGCTGAGCACTTCCCTAGAACGTGTGGAATATAATTGCCACTTGTCTTTGAGAAGAATCACAGTCAGTTCTTCACCTGTAGCAGGACTTTTAACCTCCAGCTCATTACAAACTCTGGGAAAAGGAGCTGTGCTCACTGGGCATTCTGGTGTCTCAGGAAAAGTTCATGGAGAGCTTGTGGAAGTCCTTCAATTTATTGCCTAGTGATCTCCGAGCAAGAGAAAGTCCCAGGCTCTGCTCCCTACTCTCTGGGCAGTTCCATGTGTTTTGGATACACATAATCACCAGATAAAATACATAAATAAACATCGTAGGTCATAGGAACCCATGGAGGGAGTTTCAAAATCTCTAATCTTAAGCTACCCTTTCGTAAGATGACTTGTCTTATTTAGGATATAGATACTGGTCTTTTAGAAGACAAATAAGTTTTGACTTCCTTGTTGCTGTTTAATTTGTCCTTTAGCCAACATGCTGAGGAGGTATGTGCTGCTAATGAAACACTTACGTGGAACTATCTTTGCAAAACCACCTCCCTCAACATCTTTTGAGCTGTAGACTGAGTAGCAGTCTCGTATGACAGCAATAAATAAAACACTGTTCTGGTGTCACCTTGGGAGGTTCACACCTTGAGGTGCCTATGTTGGGGCATCCCAAAACCACTTTGAGGGGCTGGGGGACTGGATTTCTGGTGCAGTGTAGAATCAGGGAAAACCCAGACTGGATTTTGGCCGGAGCACAGAATGGGGAAAAACCCGGACTGGATTTTATCTGAAGTACGGAATGGGGAAAAACCCGGACTGGATTTTGTCTGGAGTACAGAATGGGGGAAAACCCAGATTAGATTTTTCCAGACCATGGAATGGGGGGAAACCTAGACTGGATTTCAAAAAAAAAAAAAAAAAATTTAAAAAAAAATGAAGTGTTGGACTTGATGATCTCAGAGCTCCTTTCCGACCCAGCTGATTCTATGATTCTATGAAATAATTTCAGCCATACTACATTAAATAGGGAAATAAGCTTGTTACCTGCGTCTTCACACTGCAGTTGAATCAACATGGCATTTGATGGTAATTTATCTTTGTGCACCAATTAGATATTAACTTCTTGGAAAATGTCATGGAAAGACTGCATTTTTTTGTTGTCCTAGCAAATACTGATTTTCCATTATTAATCTCAATGCTCTTTGTTTTTCACTTTTTTTTTTTTTTATTATTTTTTTAAACATATTGCCCTACAGCTGATTGTTAATTTCAGCCTGGGGCTATGCTTGTGATTTTGTTCAAAAGCTAAATATACTGTGCAATATCCCAGGGCTGAACTTCCTCTGTGGATGCATCCTTTCGCCCAGGATTACTGTCATGGTTTTCTTTTGTCTGTCCACTAGGTGAACGATGATGTTGGAATTGACTGGACCAACGAGAACGACCGCTTGCTGGTTTGCCAGATGTGCATCAAACTGGCCGACATAAACGGGCCTGCAAAATGCAAAGATTTGCATCTGCAGTGGACAGAAGGCATCGTCAATGAGTTTTATGAACAGGTAAATAAATGCGTGTCCGAAGTGGTATCTGTCGGTTGCATGTCTGGTGTTAAACAGCCCTGGAGCATGATAGTGCTGGTGATGAGTAAAAATCATAGAGATAGGGGAGAAGAGGATGGCTAGAGTTACACTAATCCATCCTTTTGCTGGACCAGTAAAAGTCCCTTGTCACTGAAGCTTCTGGCGTGTCCTCAAAGACCTCTGATGATGATATTTGTACAAGGCTTAACTGTTTTAGTCTATCCATACAGTGATCATGGTGAACAAGTGTTCCATTCCTCTTTTTTTTTTTTGTTTTTGATCATCATGTCTCCCTTTCGGTGTTCTTTCATGCAAACTGTCTTTTCATTCTTCCAAGTCCTTTCAGGATATCAGCCAGTTCTCATGGCTCTCTTCTGCAGTCACTCCAGGTGTCTCACACTTTTATTGACACGTGGTCTCCAAAAGTGGACACAACATCCTTGTTGAGATGATCTAAACAGAGCAGAGGAATTATTTTAGCTTCCCCATGGGCCACATCTCTGTTCACACACACACACAAAACCTTTATGGTGCTGAGCACAACTGTAACACTGACTTTCAGTTAATCACAAACTCCCTACACATTGATCCTGACTCATTTGTTATTTTTTAAGACAACACTTCCAGCTTTCAGAAGGTTTGTCAGTACAACTGCACTAATTATGCAAGGCTCTGCTGATGGTAGCACAAGGAAGGAGGACAGCCACAGATTGATTTACAAAGACCTGGGAGTACAGCCAGGCACTGGTCCTCTCTTTCTAGGTGTAAGGGAGCCCTTAATTGAACCTTTTCTCATTATAACCTATTTAGCCCTGCTGAGTGCAAGGGTCAGGGCTGTTCCCACACTATTCCTCTGTTTCCTGAGTGGGAACATATTTTGAATGGGCTAGTTAGATTAAACTCCACATCCTGTCTTTTCCAGATGAAGCAAACAGGCGAAATCACTGAACCAGACATCCCACAGACTTCTTGGGGAGGCTGTGCAGTAACTTGTAGTCACAGACTAATCCCTTTTAAAACCTTTTCAGCTTCCTTTAAATTTCCTGCACTTACAGTTTGGAAAAAAAACAAACAGGATTTACTACTGTCTTCTGGAGTATGTAAAGAAGCGGGGAAAGGGACAAAATTCAGACATTGACCTGAAGCTCCTTCATTTATTGGAGATCTCCTGAGAAAAACAAACAAACAAACAAAACAAAACAAAAACAAACAAAACAACAACAAGTGAACCTTACATGTATTACAAATATAGTTGGTCCCATTTTTCTTTTCATTTTTTTCTGAAAGGCAGGGAGTGTGTCCCAAAACAACATTCATCTCCCAAATTTTCTTTTAGGAAATTCTTTTCTTCTTCATTACAACTGTCCAAATGAATCGTGCTTCACATTTCTGGTGATGATCACACCTTATGTGGGTGACTGCTGCATGCAGACAAAACCTGTTAGTCAGATAGAATGATATGACTTTCCTTTGATCCAACATAAATAGTGTCAGAGGGAAGTAACTGCTCCAAGTCTTGGATAGTGAATTAAGCTTAGGAGGATACATGTGTGGGAAGATACCACATTATCTGTTCCACAATAGGAATCTGGATTATTTTCCATCATTCAGAAATGGGACTCAGAACATTTTCTTTTTTGGACTTACTTTTGGCATTAAGAAGACTAAGTTAGATTCTCAGCTCATTTAACCTAGGTTAAAATCTGGTTTTCTGTCCTGTGATATGCTACGAGAGGTGTATCAAACCATGTTCACCATGCTTTTGATCATCAGATTTTTTTCCGAGAAGGGAAAAGTCTTCATATTCTCATTTCTAAAAGGGAGAACATTATGGAAGGTTTGAATTTCCCTGGAATTATTATCAAAAAGCATACATATGTAAATTCAACCTATGCTGTGAAAATCATAAAATATGTTTCTTTTAATAAACTCCAGTTCGTTTGAAGAATTTCACTCCCATATAAATAAAACTCTATTAAAAATGTGTCTTATGGAAATATCCGAAACCCAGTGTCATATTGTTCCTTCTCTTCCCTTCACATGCTCAACATACTTGTTTGAAGACAGGTTAGACATATTAAATAGAAAGAAAAAACACAGTGCAAGACTTTTCACATAATAAATAATGTTTTAGCAGAATATGAAAAAAGAACTTGTAAACATTTCAACAGTCAGCATTCTTCCCACTACTGACAGCTCAAAAACAGGAAATCTCACATTATGTTGCTGTAAAGAAGAGCAAGCTGCCACCTCTTCTTAATTGGTTTGCTATTTCAAGAATGGATGGCATGTTTCAGTGTTTTGTCGACAATAGTATTTTGTGTCTAATGATTGAACATAACATTTAGGGGTGGGTTATTAAAAAAGCAACAAACAAAACACAAGGAAGTGAGCCATTTGTTGTATGCTCCAAAGTCTAGCTCTCATTCTTAGGCCTTCACCAAATACAGATACAGACACAGTTTTGACTAGATACAAAGTCCATGACTTTTGGGAAATTTACTTTACAAGGAAATAAATATAGGCAATCTGTAAAGTGATGGAAACTGAAAACGTATCTCCAAATTCTAAACTATATTCTCAAATGTAGAACTCTGTATTGTATTAAAGCATGAATTTATATATCAAGCTTGATTAGGTAAATTAGATTTTTTTCTTGGGGAGATGACATCTGGTCTTGTCATGTCTACTCAGCTGACAACTCAGTGATGTCACCAGAAGCTTTGCTGTGAGTATGTCAGATTTGGTTCTGCAATAAAGTTTTACTTTATTTTACATCATGAGAGGAGAAAGAAAAAAGTCTTCCTCTACCTTCCCTCTACCCTCTCTCTCCAAGAAAAACTAACAAAAAGCTTCGTGGGAAAGGTTTACTGCTTTTGAGCTACCTTTGCTTTCGTAGGGATCATTTTAATAGTCCCAGGAAACCAATACTTATGACCCAAAACCCAAATCTCCATGCTATGTATAGTAAGGAAAAGATTAGTAAGAAAACTAGTTCAGTGAGATAGCCTTTGTTTGTAGAAGTTCAGTCTCATTCTGTGTAAACAGGTGGCTGACTACAAGGTTACTGGGAACTAAGAATCACAAAATCAGAAGGGATGTTTTTTTAAATAATGTGAAGAAACAAATAAAATAAAAACTTCCAAACTTTCACACTTGCAATGTAAAGTACAGGACAAGGGCAATGGGCAACATTCTACCCAGCCATCAATTCATCCTTGATCAAAAACATCCTTGATCAATTTGCACTGTCACAAAAAAAGAGCTGTAACTTTGATTAACCATTTGACATGATGGCACTGTGGCAATGTCATGCTGGCGTGCTATGGAAGTGGCACTGGAGTTCAATTGTTTTTCTTTCATCATTTTTAATTGGTTGGATGTGCTTTACCTTTTTGTGACAGAGTTTTGTTTCATTTACTTCAGAGAAGTTACTGCTATTTTCCATCTCCAGGGTGATGAAGAGGCCAGCCTGGGCTTGCCAATCAGTCCTTTCATGGACCGCTCTGCCCCTCAGCTGGCACACCTCCAGGAATCTTTCATCACTCACATTGTGGGACCACTATGTAACTCCTATGACTCAGCGGGGCTGATGCCAGGAAAGTGGATAGAAGATAGTGATGAATCAGGAGACACTGATGAGCAAGAAGAGGAAGAAACAGCAGAAATGGAAACTTGTGAAAATGCCGAATCCAGTAAGTTGTTCACGCTTATATTTTTCGACAGAACGAGTTCCATATTGTGACCAGCAAACTGAGCAGAGACTGTGAGCTGGTCAGGTTCAACCCAGGCCTCTCCACAGTGCCAGTGAGTCTGTGCTGTCCTTGGAGACGCTGGCATGTAGCCAGTTATGTTGGTAATGGAGATGCTCCGTGGTTTCAGGAACTGTGCAGTTCATATCTACTACTCATTTTTACCTTCAGTTGAGGTTTCTGGTGGTGGCTCACCCATCTCTGCATGAGGGCTTTCTAGACTCTTTCAGGGCTGGTGTTAGTAGACTGCAGCAATTTCAGTTGAATAAAGGACGATTTGGAGAAGATTTTTCAAAGCAAACACTCATCATTTCCATGAATTACTATGAAATGAGGGTCTGAGGTGCTGGTGCAGTAAAAGAGTTTTTAACAGGGGAAGTATTTTAATGCAGACCTGTCCAAGGTAATATGTGGAGAAGAGTGACAAGAGAATTGGCTCTGAGCGTGGCTGTGTTGTGTACTGGGAGCTGTGTCACTTGGCCCTTCTGGCTAATCAGTAACTAAAGCTGATAGTTTCCTGCCTCTCCTCCAGAAGAGTACTTGACAGTGCCAGTACTTGTCATACTGGGAGGAAAGCTTTTTACTTTGAAAGGAGATTCCAGGCACTCATGGGAAGTGATCTTTAAGAGAAAAGACTGTTACTATAGACCTATTTCTTTTATCAGTTTAATGCTGCATGCTTTACCTTTTTATTTCTTTCACGTTCTTTCTCCCTCTGAATTTTCTACTACGGTTCTTTTATCTCCTTCCTCTGGGTCATCTTCCTCTCTCTCCCCTTCTAGGAAGCACCAGCCTTAAGTGTGCTGGTGAAATATCGATAAAGAGCTTTTTCTTTTAACAGCCTCACTTTTTCTGTTCTTTCCCACACATTTTCATGCCCTCCATTACCTGAGTATCATCCCTGTTTTCCGCTGAGGAAACTGAGAAGCAGAAAGAGTTGATGATTGCAATAAGTCACATGAGCGACTAAAGCCTATGTCTCCTGATGTACAGAATTAACCTTTTATCTCTAGTAAAATCCAGAGGTATATGGTTTGTATTTAAGAAATCGTTGCTGTTGTTCACACACACACACACACACACACACACACTTGCATGTGTGTTAGGTTTAGCAGGTTCTCATGCATTAAAAATGTTGTTGAGAACAGCAAACATTAAATAATATAACACACACGCAGGTTGATTTTAGCATTTTAGGATCCCTCAGTTTTGTAATAGCAGGCAGAGCCACATGTTTGTGGCAGATTGACCTTTATGGAATTGCCTACCAGGAGGAAAGTGTATGTGATAGGTAACCAACACAGACTTCAAAGTCTGAAATGTTTATTGCTGTATTAAAAAGAAAGATGAAGGATGTTCTCATATATCCACTGGACTGTCTCACCTTTAAAATCCCCAGTTTCCTTTCATCTCATATCTCTGTATACTTATCTTCAGTATCACCACTAGCAGAGTCCAGCAATGCTTTTTTGAGGTTAAAAGCACTGATCTTTATTAACTGTTGTCACATTGAAAACAGACCATTTTTAGTTGATTTCTGTTTTCCTTTTTAGTTTTTTTCTGTTTTCTTTTTCACATTCTACTCTGCTCTAGAACTTTACTAGTGTTTACCGTAGCCTGGTGTTTTTAGGCTACGGTTTTCAAAACTTTAAAAATGAAAGTATCAGAAGCTGTGAATTATCCAACAAATTCTTCCTACTTCCTCCTTACCAAATGTGGGCTGCTAATCTTCACAATCATGCCAATGTGTTACAAACTGTTTTCTTCAGGTTCCCTAAATTCTGTGTGACTGTGAGTCTGAATCAGGAATCTATGACATATTTTGTGTCAATATAGGGGGTTTACAGGTTATAAGATATTTATATAATGATCAACAAAATTTTGGATGTTCTAAACCTTCTCAGTGAAACAAAATAAAAGGTTGAAATGTCAGATGCATAGATATGAAGAGTTGTATAGATGTTAGTAAAGATCTTTTTCTTGATGGAAATGCCTTTCAGGCAGATAGAAATATAATTGCAGCAGAAAACACTTCAACTAGGTCCTGATAATTCACTGAAGCAGTTGAGATAAATTTAAGAGTTATAAAACCTCAAGGTAGCTTGAAATAATATTTGTTAGTGCACAGGAGCATGTACTTTCACTGAAGGTCTGATGCAAGTATAAGAATTAAACAGTCTTGGTCTTCAGGTATTCAGACAAATTTTAACACCACAGCAACTGCTCACTGGTGTCTGCAGAGAGCAACAAGATGTGGGGTCACTCAGGAAACCCGGGAGAGAATGTCCTGCTTGAGGCATTGGCAGGGTAGGGGCTTCTTATTAGTGCTAAACCTGAAGGTTTCCTACAGGGAACCAAGGGCTTTCTAATGAAGGATTGAGTTGGATTTGGTCTGTGCTCAGTGAAAAGCTCTTTGTTTCCAGTTCAAAAGCTTCAAGGGCTAAACGTTTTGGATCCTGACACAGACATACTTTAGGCAACCTGCAAATACTAATCCACGCAAATTTATTTGGTACAAAACATTCCTCTACGTCACATTCTTTAAAAAAGAAATCAGCAGTTGTCTTTGGAGGGGTTGTTATTTCAGTTCTGCGTCTGCCAGTGGCACTGTTAATGACCAGGGAAAATTTTCAAGCTTTGTACTGTTAAGGAGTTAACAATCTGTGTTGGACAGACTATATTGACAGAACAAAACACCCTTCAGAGAGAAAAACACTTGTAGTGCAGCTGTGTCAGGAGCCATGAGAGCCACCAGTGACAAAAACACTTTATAGGTTAACAGCAGGGGACTGATGCTTCAAAATAAGACAGTTGAGCTCCCTGATAGTATTTGGCTATTGAATACTTCTTCAGTGGTGAGACTGCTGCCAAAGCAATATTGTGCTAAAGCTTCAAGGTCACCTCCACTGCAATGGTAGAATAGTAGATCTCTGATTTGACAACGGAACATAGGAGTGGGTTCCCTCCTTTGATCACTAATGCTTCATTAGTAACCCTCCACTCATTATCCTTCTACAGCTCAGCTCAGAGGTAAAATGTGGAGAAAACAATTCTTTTTCCCTCAGATAATCAGCAGGGATCCATTGGGTTTGGGGAGGGCACAGAATTTAATAATGTGTGTTATGAAAGAGGCTGATCAGAGTCTTTAAGTACTTGATATTAAATGAGCAGAAACAGCTCAACAACATGCTTTATGCATAATCATTCAAGCACTAGATGCCTCTGTGAGCAGCAAAGTCAGGCACAACATGTAGCCTGGGATAGGATGAAGCTGGGGCTCAAACTGTGCAGGAAACCAGTTTGCTTACCCAGAGGTCTGGAGAGGTGTAGCTTTCTGAATTTTAAGACTGTTTAAATTTGTGGTTTTAAAATTCTGTTGGTCCAGTTCCTATATGTCATAGTACACCCTGTCTACTTCCTACACCTTCAGTCCCTTTTCCTTCTCTCGCAGAAACCAGTACATTAATGTCACATGGTGTTTTACAGGAAAGAAGAAGTTCAAGAGGAGGAAAATCTACTGTCAGATCACTCAACACCTGCTTCAGAACCATAAAATGTGGAAGAAAGTAATTGAGGACGAGGAGAGGTTAGCTGGGTCAGAGAAGCAAGGTGCAGAGCAATCCCCACTGCACCAATCTTCAGAACAAATCCAGGCCATCAGGGAAGAGGAGGAGGAGAAAGGGAAGCCCAAGAAGGATGAAGAAGAGAACACAACTGTAGAACCAAACCAATGACAATATTTACAGCAGTATTTTAAGACAGATTGACTTGTGCACAGACTCTTTCTCAAGCCAGCACAGCATTTAGACACAACACTGTAGAAGTATGGGATAATGCGCCTACAGCTGTTTAATTTGTTTCTCTTTCCTTTTTATGGTGAGGTACATTGTTTAAACTCCTATGCTCAAGGAAGCTTTCACACTGCAACACCGGCTTTTACAGACTTTCTTTAAAGAGATTTGGGGGTGGGTGGAATTATATAAATATATATACATAGCCAGGGTTATTGGCTGCACACTTCAGCAAAATACATTTAGTGATATATTATGGTCACTGTGATATTTACAGAAGAAAGTTATCTAAGGAAATGCTGCTTCTGAAGAACATTTGCAGTTAACAGTAAGGTACCAGTTAAGTAGCTTTTGCTCTTAATGCTGAGGGATAAAAGTTCCAAAGCTTTATATGAATGCTGATATATCCTGCCAACACATATGCGCGTGTGAGGGGGTGTTTGCAAGTGTGAGTGGATGTGTGGAAATATAGCATAGTTTGAGTTCTTATTACACTAGCTGTAGCACGTGTCCCAATACATGACAGCAAACAGAAGGCCCGGATTTTAGAGAATTTGTGCCCACCAGGGAAATGGAGCCCATTTCGAGGAGCTCTGCATTCCCCATAGGCCTCCAAGTCCCAGTTTGCACTCCAGCTGCAGGCAGCAGCCTTTCAGCAGAGACCACACTGGCCCAGGCTGCCAGCCTGCCCTGTCTGGCTGTGCGGGCTCCTCCTCCTCCTCTTCCTCAGCACTTCCCGCACTGCTGGCGAAAGGGATGTGCCAGGAAGGTGTATTTTCCAAGGGGAGTCGAGAGGGGCTGTGTGACACACTGCTCTGTTCCCCTGGAGAGGACCTGGCCCTCTGTGTGAATGGCTGTGTGGGGCAGCGTGTTTGGGCAGGAGGGAACAGAGAGCAAACGTGTCCTCGGAAGCGAGAGGCACACTGTCAGTTCCTACCGCAACCTAAACACCTCCGTGCATCAATGACCAAATATATCATTTAAGAACAAAGCTAAACTGCATCTTGGGAGAGCAAAAGAAGGGGAGTGGGGAGGCCATTGTCTCCTCAGAGCAATGCAGGCAATGCATTAGGAGCAGCGGGGGGACAGATGCCAGTCCTGCATCCACTGGACACTCATGTGTCTCAGCAACCACTCACATGACCTTCAGAGAACTCGGTTTTTCAGTGTGAGGTGCTGGATGGGAGCAGTTTGTTGCTGGCATTCTGCTTAGAAGCAGCATGTTTGGTCCTACCGATATACATTTTTTTCCTTTTTTCATTTTTTTTTTTTTTTAAGAGAAAGAAAAAGATCAGGCCTGTAAGAAGAGCAGATCTTTTTTTTTGTTTATTTGTTTGTTCTGTTCATTTGTTTTCTCTGTTGTTTATGCTGTGAGCCAAATGTCTATTTAAAAAGTTGGATATTCACTTTCAATATTTTATTTCACGATATTATATTTGTCAATGATTAGCTATCTAGATGTAAATATGGAAAAATTTTTATGGGTTCCTGTAGATAATGATATCTTTAAGAAAAAAAAAAAAAGAAAAAGAAAAAAAGGGAAAAGTTGTTTTGTAAAGATAATTTTTTAAAAAATAAATACAAAAACATTTTTATACAGTGTAGCCATTTCAAAACCCCACAAAGTCTTGACTAATTTGTATAGACCCTTATGGGAAGCCAGTGGTCTATGGAATCAAGGCTTCAAAATATTAATGCTCTTGGGGACTGGCCGCACCAACCAGTACCACACAATTTAGAGACTTGTTCCCACAGAAAGAATTATATACATAAAGCTCAGTATCTCTCAAAAATTATTTGACTATATATACTTTTTATACTATGATCCTGCAGCCCTTTACTAAGAAGAGGATTGCTTGTGAAAGGCAGAGTTCGTAGAAGTCTTTTCTGTATTAAATTTCTGACATTACACTCATCACTTTTTGCCATTGTTACACATTCACCAAATTTCATGATCCTATTGATACCTCCCCAAAAACGTTGGAAAACATTCTCTATCAAAGCCAATCAACATGTGTGTTATTACTTCAGGGGTTCTTTTAGCTTTGCATTTCTGTCAGAGTGAACTTTCGCTCAAAACAGGATTTGGGGTTTTTACTGGTTGCATTTGCCTGGTATCATCCCATTCTGGATTTCTACTCTTAGGAGTAGAAAGTTTGCCTTTCAGGAGAGTGACTAGAGCACAGTTCTGGATGCTCTTATTGGCAGAACCATTTAGTAAGTGCTTTCCAATGAAATCAGAAAAGCAAATCGCACTGTTATTTTAAAGGCAAAGGACATAGCAGAATTCACTCAAAAGAAAAAATGATATCTCCAAGACCTCAGCCAGTCTCCAACAATTCCAGCTTGCACTGTTTTCACACTTCTTTAGTCACTTTGATTGATCATTTTGTTTGGGTTTTTCTTGTACAAGTGATATGCATACCTTATAGTATGGGAAGGATTTATTATTCCTCATTCTGTCCTTTAAAAATTAAACTTACAGAGATGCTTTAAAATGTCACATCTCCAAGCACTTTTTTCTTGCTTTTCAGTACATAATCACTGCAACTGGATCTTAATACTGGGTTTTATATTGCCTTTTCTAGAAGATGAAAAAATTATATTGCAGCAGGTGTTAGTGGGTGCCCAGCTGGTAAAATTACAAAGAAGTGTTCAAGAATGAGGCGAAATCCTGTAAGTGGAGTTCCACATATTCCTCTGAGCTGGCATATACAGGGTTGAACTAAGAAAAAATATCCTAAAAATGGCTGAAATGGAATCATTATATTTTTCTAGTCATCATTTTTGGTTGCTATTAAGTAAAATTAGTGTCAGCTTCTAATTTAAGCTTTCTTTCTAGATTGCTAATGCAGCTGTCAGAAATTGATACTCCTTTGCTACCCAAGCCTGTTTGTGGCTACAGTCTGATTAACTCGGGTCTTTAGAGTGAAAAAAATTGCTGACAGGCTTAAAATGAGAATGATCATTGATTTTATCCAAAATGGAAGGAATACCAGTGTATTAGTGAAGTAGCTGCAATTGTTTAACTTGGTAAGAGGTGACCTTTTTCTGCACTCCAAATAGTTACTAATTAAATCTAATATCTGCTGGTGTCCATTCCTTATGAATCTGATTTTCAGTCTTTGAAGTGCATGTCTGGCAGGCAATGATTAGGAAATTTCCAGGTTGGCTTACATGTAACACAAAAGAAAATAACAGAGATATTTTATGTCAAGAATGTGAAAAACAATTTTATTTTTTCTTTTTGCTTTGGGGTTAGTAGATAATACAGCAGGTAATTTTTAGGGGGGTTTATAATATTTTCTAGTCCAAAGGAGGCAAAACTTTTGACCTGCAGTTACAGAAACCTTTTGGAGGCTAGATCTTGATAGTTTTCCACTTAGTGTAGTCCTTTGGTGGTGTGAACCCCAAACCACAGCCTGTGCAATAGTTTAGGGGGAAAAAAAAAAAAGAAAGAAAACTAATTGTATCCAATCAGCAAAATGCTTTAGGATATAGATGGGATGTTTACAATGTTGATATGGGTTTATGGTATATACTGTATGTAAAACAGTGTGTTAGATACTAGAGAAAGCAACCCCCATTTAAACAGTATTTTGCAGTAACAAAAGAAAAAAATTGACGTATTTTAGTTTTCAGTTCTTTAAAAAGAGGAGGAGAAAGATTAGATTGGTTTTTTCCTCTTGGATATTTTGTTCTCTCCACTGTTATGTCACTTGGTGACTGATCCTGTTTTCTTCTAGTCTAGGAGAAGTTTGCTGTTCCCTGGAATTGGAGGGGTTTTGCAGTGATTGCAGCTCCCAATGCGGTGACAAAGGCACTCTGCCCCTCACGTAGCAATCATGTAGAAACAGTTTTGTCCCTATATTGAGAGATTCCTGGATAGCCATATGCTGTTTACTATGGAATGTAACATCTCTCATTACACTTGTGTTGCCAATGGAAAACATGCAAATAGACTGTGAAAGGCCCAAACTATTTAATTACCTTTTCTTTTAGGAGGAGTCTGAGACTTTAGCTTTCAAGAACCCAAAAATACTGTCTCTAGAAAAATGTTCAAAGGACCACAGTTTACTATTTATGCTCTAATTCTAGAATCTGGTGTTTCTGGATTTTTTTTTAGCTGATGTACAGAGTACGTTGACGCTCACCTCTGAAAATCATCACCTTCTCCAGTAGAAAGATGATGTTTGATGTGATGTTGCGAGCCATGCATTAGAAATTAGTTGCAAGAAATAGGGAAAAGGTATTTTACTGTTCTTTTGGCAGTATTTTGGATTGCCTTCCTCTGTGACTGAAATTCTTTACAGAAGGCTGGGGAACTCCTGTCACACTGTGCAGGGTGCTGGCTCCAACAGCAAATGATGGTCCCATTCTGGCAGTAAATGGTTCCCAGGGCAGGTGTAATTTGAGAATGCATTTATTATCAATGTAAGGATAGTTGTTAATCATTTTTTACCCTGACATCATGTGTGAACTTCTCTCTGCATCATCATCAATCTAAAATCCAAGACTGCGACTGCTCAATACCTTTTGAGTGGATGCAAGACATGAAGGTCTTTTACCTTTAGTGTACTACTGTTAGTTCTTAAGATCTTGATGGTCTGATTTTGGAAAGGAAGTTAAGTCTGAAAAGGTTCAAATATATGCTTCTAAAAGTAAGAGTTAGAATCTAGGCAAATTCAGTTCCCAGCCCCCTTTCTATGCGTTTCATGCTGGACATGAACTTCATTTGTTTTCTTTAGAAAGTTGTAAATTCCTGTATGCTTTTTAGATATAATTTTTTGTTTCTGAAATTCTGGTGCCATCTTTCTTTAGAAATTCCCTGGAAAGTAGAATGCAGTGTGGAGAAGGAAAGGCTTTTGTCAAATTGAGCATCAGTCAGTGCTAGGGCCCATGACACCTGCCCAGACCGTACCATAGTCTGGGTGTGTTCACACCCTGTGCTGTGCCTGTGTTGCTTTTGAAAATTTTGCCATAAGTACAATGCAGCAAAAGGTTTGTGGTTGGTCCCAGTTGTGAATGAAGTACTTGTGCTAAGTCTTTATCCTGCTTGGTCTGTGTGGTGTGACACTGTGAGGGTTAGGGCTTTGCTGTTGATGAAGATGGTTGCAAGTTTTAGTCCACTCTCACCGACTTTCAATGGCCAGATGTGCCAGTCAGTGTGAGTCTGGGCAGCCCAGCAAACCTGGGTCCACCTGAGACTGTGATCTAGAGAAAACACAAGGTGCTTGACTAACAAATACCCCGGACAGATGCACCAGATGATTCAAGTGAGGGAGAGATAATGCAGATGCACTATGGTTCATTCTAAGGTTGATCCATCTAATAGTGTCCAGTGGATTGGGAGGACAACAGTGACAGTCTGTGGTTTTTTTTTTCCTGAAGAAGAGGGGTTTGACTGTTGGAAAACCTCTAATTCATAAAAGCAACATACAATATTTGCTATTGCTTTTGCAAGTATTGTTATGATTGAAGTGTTCTGTGTTTAAGGAAGAAAGTTTTCAATTTAACAAGGAGTATAAGAATTTGTTGAGCATCCCATGGCCTCATGGACAAGAGATTAAATTGAGGCAAGTGCCCAGAGCAGAGAACACCCCATCACAGATGGGAGGCAGGCACAAAGGATTGCTTGGTCTTTCCAGTCTCAAGCCTGGGTGTTGGCTTAAGAACTTGAGTATTCCTCAGCTGGCAGCACAGGGCTGGTGTAATTAGTCCTTGAGCTGATGGTGTTGTACACATATAAGAAGGAAGTCAAAGTGCCATTTTGGGGGAATGAGAAAAGGAAATTGTAGTCCAGTATGAAACACAGTTTATGCAGCAAAATTTATTTTCCTTTTCTTTCAAAATCAAATGTAATCCCACTGAAATTATGTAACCATAGAGTTTCTGGGGATCTAATTACTGTTTGATGTTGCAGCATTAGTCAAAATGGTGGCAGCATTAAAGAGAAGATAATTATTCCCATTAACTAGAGTGGGGGAATCTTTTACATTTTTTCATATTTTTAGGAGAATCGACAAATAAGAATGTCCAGGGCTCCTGAAGAAAAATCATGTTAAGTGATTTTGAACAGATGGAGGAATAATTGAAATTAGGTGACAACTCTCTTAGGCAATCATTGAAATAACTAGCAAAAATATTGATTATTGGAATCAAATTTTAAATTAGAGCAAAAAAACACCAGCACTTTTGAGAACAACTTAATATGACCAGTCTTTTTTTGGAGTTCATCACTTTCTTTTGGCAAAACAACATTCCTCTGGAGGTAAATCAAAGCAGGGTTTAGCCCCTGCTGTGGTAGTTATTGAATCCTATTGTTGGAGGGAGCAGTGCTGAGTTATCCACCATTTACGTCCTAATTATGATTTGTTCAGAGGCCATTAGTGGGATTTTCCTGGCAGGCAGGTGTTCTTTTGGTGAAAAATACATCACACCTTCTCAAGTAGGATGCAGATGTTGCCTGTGTGAGCACCTGCCTGAATTCTTAGGACAGTTCTGGAGCCTGGTGGCAGAGGAGTGCTGGTGTATTTCTGGAGAGTCTGTTTTCACAATGACAAAAGGGGTCAAAAGCTTGAGCTAGATAACAAAACTTCTGTGATAAAATTGAAATAAGCATTGTTGATAATTGTTGATAATGACAAGCAGTTTGAAACCTTGCCTGTGTGACTTGTGGGGTATGCAAAAATTCCCCCTGAGTGCTTGCATGTGTAAAACTGCTTCTTCTGGGAGCTGATGAGTTTGGGTAAAGCCAACTGGCCTTGGTTGTGGACTGCCAACCTCAAGGATATGGTAAACCAAGAAGAATTTTTGACTGAAGTTGTTTGATTCTCCCTCATTAAGGAAAACTTTGCTTCATGCTAGGGGAGGAAGAAAAAGCATATTTTTTTCATTTGAGCTTTTCAGATGGCTAGTCTGTGCCAGTTGTTTCTTACTTCCAAAGCCATGCGTGTAGTACATCCAAGGTGTGGAAATGGGGCAACAGATGAGACTTGTTCTGCCATGGATGATATATGGGATCTGTGTGCACCAAGGAGCACCACTGAAATCTGCAGGTATGGAAAGGGATGTATCCCAGCAGCAAATTAGATGGGAAACCCAAATAATTCTGTTTTCTGTGTAGAAGTGTAAGAGCAAGTATGAAGGCCTTTGCCACAGCTGCAGACCACATGTCCTTTTATGATTGAATTCTCTTCTGATTCAAAACCGCAGAAATCAGATCAAATGAGCAAAACACAGAGTGTGCTGCAGGCCTGGTGAGGCAGGTGTGTGTTAGATGGCTTCTCCTTGGGCTTGCAGAGGGAGCTGTGCTTGCACTGTTGGCTTGCAAATGGCCTGGGTTCCCAGATGGAACAGGGCAGCCCGGCACGGGGGGAGGAACTGGGGGGGCAGGTAAAGAACAAATGCTGAATTTCATAAGGTTGTTGTCAAAATAGCTTGAGAAACACCTTAGAGAAATGTAATCCATCTCTATACCCACCTTGCCGTGGTTTGCTCACGGCTACAGCTCTCAGGCTTGGATGCTCTAGTTTTCAACTGGTCTTCCTTTACCACAGCGAACACTTAAAAACAATTAATGTGAATCAGCAATTGCTCTTTGCTTCTGAGTATTTATTTAAAGGAGATTGAGTTTTGGGGGTTTTGGTGGTGGTGTTTTTTTTCTCCCCTGGCACTAGTCGTTTTGCCCCCATGCTTTCCTAAAAAAAGGAATAAAAAGGCTCTGTGATCTGATCAGAGAGAAAACAGTGAGGGGTTTGCCATGTGTGTACATACTGCTTTAGGTAGAAAGCCTGCCGTCTGTTAAAGCTGTCTTTCCTTTTCAAAATTCCTGCCTGATCCTGACACACAATGAAAATCTGTATTTGAATGCAAAATGTTGATTTTTAGATGTTTGTAAACCTCGATACTGCAGATGGTATCCCAAAAGATCAAAGACAACGTTAAGAACTGCTATGTGGTGTTGATAATATTTTTAATATTTCAATCATGTCAGCGTACATTTGGTCATTACTTTTCTAAAGTTAAGTCTTTTTTTCTTGAGTAATCGATATAAGATGTTTGCATGATGGACAGTAATTTAAGTTCACTTTTAAAAAAGCCGTGATTCATACTGTAGGTTATGTTTGTTTAACAGATTAACATTTTCACTGACGGGTGGCAGTTTTTTTTTTCTTTTTAGTGCTTTTGATTAAAGAACATCTTGGACATTTTCCAACAGAAACACATTTTGTAACCTTTGCCTCCAGTTGTGGAAGAAATACCTTCCAAAAGTGATTGTTTTCCAATACAGTTTGGCCATCTGGGTAACAATATGAAGTATGTACATCATGTAGAAGATGTGATAAAAAAAAATTTCAAAATCCCATTTCGGTAAAGTAATCAAGAAATTAACCTAGCAAGATCAAAACCCTTTCTGAATGAAAATTTTGGGTGTGCCAATATAATTGAAGCACTTGACCCCCACCAGACTTTAGGTCCAAATTATACAAAATTTGTAGTTTAAAATTGACAACAGGCCAGCCAAAGTTTTTTTACTGTGGAAAACACTGAGGAGTTTGGTCACCTTACATCCTATCCTGTGAGGTTTGACTCCTGGCCTGGGCACCACACCTCAGACAGAATTGTTTTAATGATGCTTATTCAGACTCAGCTCTAGTAGCAAGTTTCCACAAATCACCCATGTTCTTCAAATTTAATCCCTCCGTGATTTTTTTTTTTTTTTTTCACTTCAAAAGGTGAGGAAAAGGTGGGGGGAGTGTAATTTTATACGGCTCTATTTGAAAAGGGGTTTTGTGTACCTTTATAATTCTTTTGAAGCAATATCTTAAAAAATAACTGCCAGCCAAAGTGGCAATGCAGAAAAGTGCCATCTTGTTTAGGATTTGTACACACCAGTTTTTAACACAGTGTTCTTTTCACTAAGTACTACATACGTTAATTTATATTTATATATTGTCAATATTGTTGTAACCAAGCTTCTCCTTTCTAAACACTTCAGGAACAAGGCCTTGTATTTTTAGGTGATTTTCATAAACAGAATAATTCTTTTCCTTTCACTAGTATCTTGCACTCGATACATGTAGCAATACTTAATATATTCTCTTCACAAGTATTTGTTAAGTGATTTAGTTAATGGCTGATAAATGTTTTGTACAAAATAGATTCTGTACAGGAAAAAATCTTTTAGATAAACATTATTTATTTTTACTGTTTTGTAAGTTAGACACTATAATGAAGCTCCTTTTTGCCAGAATTACTGGAAGTGCCTCTTGGTAAAATGTATTATACAGTAAATATGTATTCAAAATTGTTAGAAATACTTGTCACAAAATGAACAATGTGGATGTTGCAATGTGAAGACAAATGTACAACATAAATATAATTCTGTGGTATCCTGTTGCTGCGTTTCTTTTCCTTTATTGAACAATTTTGCTTTTGATGCCCAGCTTTCTGCTTAAGCACCAGACTGCAAATGACCTGTACCCTCTTCAGATTCTGACTGAAATCCAGTAAAGCTCACATATATTGGATTACCATTTTAGCTGCCAGCCCTGCTTGGTGTTTGTTAGTGACCCAGTTTATTGGTATCTGACTACCTCCAGTATTTACCTGCAGAATTCTGCACTTTAGTTCAGATCACTAATAAATCCCGTGTTAAATGCTTTGCATCTCAGCCAATCTGTGGAAGGCCTTGTTATAAACATCTTTCTTTAATGTTGACCAATATTTCAGAGTCCATTTTCTGTGTACTGTTCAATCCAGTTAATATGGACCATACTGATTGAATGTGGTCTATATTACATGGCAGCATTCAGCCTTAGTAGTGCAGAGTGACTAATGCTTCCAGAGAAAATGAAAATTAACAGTTTCCTGTATTAATCAACAGAAGTTATCTGCTAAAGTGAGACATCAGCGAGTGAAATCAACTTTCTTGCGATTTTGTTGGTAAGTGTGCTGTCGTTCTGCAGTGAAAAATTTTGCTAATCTTTTATGTGGACTGGAATTGACATCTGGCTGCTGTCTTTGCTCACTGTTTATAATTTCAAAAATGTATCTTACATCTGTCAAAAGTTTTCCCCATTTTTAAAGTTTTATTACCTACTTTCACCAAAGCCCTGGAGAGCTTTTCAGCCAACTGATTTGAAACAGCCGCATAAAAATTAGCTTGATCAACCAGTTATTCAAAGCCTCTTTTCCTGTAGCTTAACAGATTTCAGAATCTAGAAGAGCATCAGACACATATCAGGCTGTCAGTTTTGAAGTCCCACCAGTTTATTTGTCCTCTGGCTAAAATTCTGAATAGCAAACATCCAAGGCAATTTGCACCAGAGAGTGATTAGGAAGGTACTGGTTGGGATCTTTGCCAGCATGAAATTAAAAATATATTTATACCTATTCTAAGGGAACTCCTTATAAGTCTGCAGCTGGTCTGTCCCAAACACTTAATAACTCGATAGCATGGAATTAATTGATCCTAAAATTCACAGAGAAACATATGACTGGAGTTGCAAAGAAAAACTTTTCCTTCAATACTCCTCATCACAAAGAGTAGGGGCTACCAAGGTAAAGAATGCTCTTGTCTTTGAAAATCACCAAACTCTGGAGCTCTTCAAACAGCAAGAAGCTCCCATGTGAAGAGATGAGCAATAAAACAGGGAGCAGAAGCAGTCAATCTGCTAATGAGACCACACATGAGCGGGCCTCTCCTGGGATTCTGGTGAAACATAAAGCAGGCCATGACACACAGTCAGTAGCGGCTCAATTAAATGTTGCACTTTCCAGGTGTTCAAATTACTCTCAATTGCTAGGCTAAATCCACTTGCCTAAAAACCACTTAAAATGTTTCCCAGAAAATAGATTTCTCGAAGAACTCTTGGTGCTTTGTTTAGCAATGCTTTCTTTAATGTTTCTTTAATTATCTTACCAAAAACCTATAGAAATCGACATCATCCCTTGTGCCACCATGGACTCCCTGGATATCATCGGTAATTCCCGTAGGGATAGAAGAGCAAATGACAATAACAGTCAGGTGTGTAACTTGCAGGTGCTCCCCTGGCTGATGGGGTCTGTAGCTCCGGGGTTGCTGTCTCACACAGTCTGAGGGAGAATTTTAACCACTCCACACTGGGTTCCTAAAAACCTGGCACAGTGAGATGGAAGCTGTGAAAGCTTTGCTGAAGAGCCTCACTCTCAAGAGGTGATGCTGATGTTGCATAATTCATGAGAAAACATGTGAGTTGAAAGTTTTACTGAATGTTTTGATGGCTTATGCCACAGTCAAGGCAGACTGCTAGTTATAATCACTAAATAATCTGGGGTAGGCTTGGGCATAGTGGTTTGGAAATGTGATACAGATAAAAGGTTGCTGCAACATCTGCTTGTCTGCAGCCAGGAAATACAAAGCAGAGGGTTCCTGTTTGATCTGCACAATGGCTTGGTTTACAGTGACTTTTGCTAGTGGTAAATTACTTCCTTTCACAATCCTTTGCACATGGTGATTGTTTATTACTGTGCTTGCCAAAGGCATCATATCCTACAAATTCAACACCTTCTGTGTAATCAACTCTTCTGTTCAATTTTTTGCACCTTCCCACATTTCTAGCGAAAATCTTTGTGTTTAAACCTAGCTCAAAGAATTTGTCTTCATTAAGAAAAGTGCTATGTGATTTTTTTAAGATTAATGGTATTAATTTCTAGTGGCTGGACAAGTTCCAGTTTCAGTTATTACATTACTATGATTCTATTGGACTGGATTTGGACCAAGGGTTGGACTCGATGATCTCGGAGGTCTTTTCCAACCCAATCGATTCTATGATTCTATGATTCTATGATTCTCCTATGTAGAAGTTCTCCCCAGAGCTCTGGTGGGTACAAACACTTCCTGCTCCCAAGGGACATGTCACGTCACCAGATCTCTCATTTGTCCTTTTTGTTATCCCTCATCAGAGACAGGTTTCACAGAGCCCATTGGGATCTTTGCAAAGTGTGGTGCTGTATAAAAATACCTGCTACTTCTCTTCTTCTGAAAATGATTGGTAAAACATGGGAGGGGTTTTGGGGGTTTTTTTTAACTAATCATTCAGGAAGGAAAACCTCTGAGCCATTATTTTCTGCAAGTGCTTTCAAGGTAATGTACAGCCATTGGCCACACTTCTATATGTTCCCTCAAGCATCCAGAATAGAGAGCATACATAGAAAAGGTGATCTGTGGTTGAGGTGCAGAAAACACATTTAGTGCAACTGCTATTTTTTTTTTTAATTCTTCTTCCTTATATCTCATTCAAGGGGCTGAAAATATGAACGTCAGGAATAATTTGATGAGCACCTCACGGTAATGAGACTTCTCAGAAGGACCTCTTCATATCCTAATAACAAGTTAGATGGTCCAAAATATAACTCTTCTATTGCTTTTGCTGTCCTTTGGTAAGAAATTCTCATGGCAATCCCCAAGAGCTTTTAGCAGCTGAAGTGTGTTATTTGTCTCTGGTTCTCTGATGTGGAATGAGTATGCAAGGTTTGTTCTGGCAGTGGGTTTCCTACTCCTGAATGTTCTTACCAAGTATTTTCTTAGGACTGGAAGCAAAAAGAAGAGGAAAATTAATGTCAAGGAATAATCCACAGTAATAGACTAGCATAGCTAAAGCAATTAAAATTATATAGGCAGTGAAACTGGATTGCCCAATTAGTTAACTGCAAATGTCTTCACTGTTTCTACCTGTCATTGACTCCAAGCTATGCATTTACCTAGGAATCACAGCTAGCAGAAACTACTTTTTTCATAAATTTTAAAAGCTAAATTGCACTAAAATTTAAGTACTTGGAGATGTTTCTTTGAAAGAAACAGCTGCTTCCAAGCTGTCGTGCTTTCTAAGTTGCCTTTATTCTGGCAGCTGTGTTTCCAGACTCAACAATGGCATGATGCCTTGAGCTTCCTGCTCTCTGGACAAGGATGCAAGAGATCTGGATCCGAGGAGACCTTTGCAGCAGCACTCTGGACCACAAGCAGTTGCTGCCACGACTAACTCTCCTCTGTGGGTCCATCCAGGGCAGCTCAGGGTTGGACTATTTAAGTGCTAGCATAAATAAAACAGTAAAGGAGCATTTGGCCAAGTGTCAATCTGAGTAGTTTGAGGACTCATTCTACCAACTATTCATATGTAGCTTTGCTTTGCAGCACAGTATTAAGGCTTGGGAATGGACTAAGACTCGGGAATGTACTAGGACTCTGTTGGACTACAGGAATCACATAAATTTAGGTTTTAAGGTGAAGTGGTATATCCTAATCCTATTTATACATTCTGAGTTTCTTTTTTACCAAGTCAGTATTTTCCTTCTAGCAGATTTTTTGGAATATGTTTTTTAAAAAATGTCTTTTAGAAAGGAAAAAGTGTCACGCTTCTAAACACCGGGTTGGGGTTTGGGGGAGCTTTGGTTTTTTGGGGTTTTTTTGAGACTTTACAAGGTTAACATTTGGTCATGAAATGTGCCTGAAGAAGCAGCAACTGGGTCCAGAGCTATGCATCAGAGATCTGTGGCTGCTGGATGGTTTGTAAGACTAGCCCACAAATCTCCTGTGTTGTTAGTGTATTGGTGGGTTTATGTATCAAGATTACTCTTGTCACAGCTATTCATTCTGGCCAGACTAGGCTTTGTAAACATAATTAATTTAACCTGTGCTTTAGAAATGAAGGTGGTCTGGCTACTAATTTCCTGTAACTAATACAAAGTAGGAATGCAAAGAAAATGGACCGCAAGAAACAAGCTTTAGTCTTACTCTTTGTCCTGTAGCTGCTTTAATGGCTTTGTTTCAATTATAGAATAAGTATATATAAGTAAGCAATTTCTTTTAGGACTATGGGAAAGCAAAACCTTTCTTGTCTGTTTGATTGTCTAGCAGGCTTCCAGTGGGTTTTGTGTCATTGTGCTTGGGAAGTGCTCTGCTGCAGGAGGCACTGAAAAGTGACACATAAGAGGTGTCATGTCCTGTATCGAAATTGGTAGTGATTTGTTTCCCATGTCTCAGTTCTCGTTAGTGAAGTGTAATAAATGATGTACTGCATTGACTTTCCATGCCATATCCATGGCCTTGAAGGCCTGGGAGACTAATAAATTCCTACCTGGATGAGACTTTTTTTTCTGCCAGATGAACTCAGTGAATTGTAGAGAGGATCTTGTGTTCATTTACTCTGAGCACCTTGAAAGTTTTGTAAGTATGACTGTTTCTGAGGAACTGCTATAATTAGTTCGTAAAGGAATGGTGACACTCTTCTGGAAGGTGTATGAAAACTTCCCATAATGGAAAATATCTCCCCCAGAATGCTTTTATTAAAGTTCCAGTTAAGCTATTATACACACTTATAAAGAAGCCAGAGAAGACTCTATACAGAAATTCCAGTAAAAGCCCAACTGCATTAGAAAGCTGATACTGAGATTTTACAATGAACCAAAAATCCAGAAAAGATGGGAAGATTGCATTAAATCTTGTGGGCCTTGTTTTTCAAAGCACTGCTTCTTAAACTGCACAAAACCAGTCTTTCGGTATTTTTCTTTTAATGTAGAGGACAATGCCTTGCTATTCATCAATAAGATTTGTAGTGTAATGGGGTCTTGGAGGGACCTGTGAAAGGGATTTATATAACAAATTTATTAATCTGAACATGAATCCCACCTATTTTAAGGGACAGTATAGTGAAGTCTACCAGTGGCAGAATAACTGGAGTCTGTGTCAGAAATCACTGAAAGAGGCAAGGTCAGCAACGAAGATTAAAGGTCAGGCAAAACTAGTACAGATCCCCTATTGTGTAAACTCAGTTTTCCTAATAATTGAAGGAAATGGGCTGGAAGCTGTTCTCTGAAAGAAGCTGAAAGAACTCATAATCACTAATTCTCCTAATCATTAATGCCTCTGGACTATTAGGCACCCTGATATCTCTTAGAAAAGGGGAAAGTAGATTTCCAAGTTTCCAAACCAAATAAGGATATAAGACACTTTAAAGTACAAAATGTGAATTACATGTAGCGTAATAAAATTCCAGCTGCATTAAGAACCCAAAATGGAGATATAATGAAGGATTGGATAATACTTTGTATTAAATCTAGGATAGCCGAAGCCTACTCCAAGGTGCTGTGTTTGGCTGTGTGAGTGAGGGTTTAGCTGCCATGGGAACCTGCCATACTGCAGAGGGTGGGAGAGAGCAAGAAGGGAAAAGGAAGAAGAATTTCTAACTTTAATACCTTTTCTGTTTGTATAATTAAAGCCTACAGGTTAGCAGAAGACAGGGTTTACAGCGTCTCTCTGCTCAAGAAACTGCACTGGGAACTAGTCACATTTTTCACCTTTACCCAAACTTGCAAATAAATCCTGTTGCAGTAGCATTTCCTTGTGACAGGAAAAACACAGGGTTGGAATGAAATCTGCAAAGTTTTCCTTTCATTGTGGCAAAGGGCTTGACTGACTCTCCCATGCAATTCTGTCTTCTCCTTTAATGGATCTTTTCATTCTGGTTTTATGTCATGTTGACAGGGACTTTGTCCTGCAGGTTTGGAGGAGCAGGGCATACTGGGCATACCAGGAACAACTAGGGACTGGGCAGGAAATCTATGTGAATTACCTGTTCACCCCAAAGCCTATTTTTTTCCCACACATTCCCCTTTTTTCCTTTTTTTTTTCCTTTTTTTTTTCTTCTAGTCTGTTCCCCCTTGAAGTCTTTTGTTTCCTGGCACTGAGCAATTAAGAAGATCAGGGTTTTGGGCTTTTTCCTCTCCACAAAGCTTTGTCACGTGCCCCATCAAACTTACAGCAACTTGCAAAGAAAAATACCCCCTGGGAGCCATTTAGATACTCTTTATGATTTCCATCTAGGGCACCCGGCATCTTTGCTTTGCCAGTGTGCCCTGAGTCCTTGAATTCACAGGAGGGGATAGAGGAAGAAAAAAGTGAGGAGGTGGGGGAGGAGGATGGGGGGCAGACAAATAGCAAATGCTCAGGCAAAACAAGAGACAAAACAAGTTCCCCCACCCTTATGTTTTTTCCTTTCTCTACCTCCAGTATAAGATGTACATCCCTGGACAGGGTAAATTCTAAGAGGTGGTTTTCCCCTGCAGTTTTACCCCCTTCTAAGCTGGGAACAGTGCCCATGCCTGCATGTAGGTATATGCATAAGCTATACAAGAAGCTTACCTATGAAAACTAGTAGGCACCATCTCTGGGGATCCCTGCTGCCAGGTAAGATTTGGCTTTTCTTCTTCTCTTTGCTGATTCACCTTTCAGAGAGAATGTCCTTTAGCTGGGTTCATGGGTGAACAGTCTCTGTACCAGCCTTCTGTGTCCACCCATTGCAGCAAGTGCAGCTCCTGTGCCTGCGGGCTGACACGCAGTAAAGGCACGTCTAAGGAGGCTTACTGCAAATGGGGGAGGTTCCGGGGGGGGGAAGGACATTTTTCCATTGCCTGGAGTTTGAATGAGTGAAGGGAGACTCTTCAGGAACTGCCTAGACTTGTCTCAGCCCGCTGCATGCATGTTGAGGGATGAGTCCGTCCTTGGAGCTGACCATGAGGCACAGCTCCACATGCCAGCTCCCGGGAGGGTGAGCGCCACTGCCGCCAGAGCTGTGTCACAGGTGAGCGACCGGGCGTGCTTCCCGTGGGATAGAAAGCACAGCCACCAGAGAGGGCTCCCACACCCCATCCAGCTGGAGCCAGGGATGCAAGGAGGGGTCAGAGCCCCGGCTGTGGGCCCAGGTGACAGCCAGGGATAAGGTGTGAGCATGGCCAGCAGCTGTCCTTCAGGCAGAGTGTCACCCACCTGAACAGGTGCTGTAGGTGTGATGAAGCACAACTGCAGCACTGCAATGGATGGCTATAAACTCTTCAGAAGGGACAGGCAAGGAGGTAGAGGCAATGGGGTAGTCCTGTATGTTAACGGTGTGTTTTGATTACTAGAACTTAATGATGGTGGTGATAAGGCTCAGTGTTCATGGTCTAGTGGTTAGGGTGCAGGACTCTCACCGCTGCGACCCGGGTTCGATTCCCAGCCCCCCGGGCAGATGGAGCTCGTTAGCCCTGTAAGGCCATCCATCTAAGAGAAGGTCACTCTAAACAAACCTACGTTCTGAGACTCTCACTGCCACTGTCCGAGTTTCACTCGGCCCCGGCAGATGAACCTCAGGATTAAAGGGTGGGCTCAGTTCAGCGCACGCTGTGTCTCACCTAAAAAATCCACTGCGCAGGCTCGAAGGGTTAATGACCTTTCCCAAATCTTCGCTCGCGAAGACTGGCCATTATTTATTATTATTATTATCATGGGTAAGAGTCAGTGGGAAGGGCAACCAGGCAGATGTCATGGTGGAAGTCTGCTAGAAATACAACACAGCAGAGAGGAAGGGAGTTCTAGGAGGTCCAGACAACCTGGGAGCTTTGTGGAGCATGTGGAAGATAACTTCCTGACACACCCGATGAGGGAGCCAATGAGGGGAGGTGTTCCATTGAAACTGTTATTTGTGAACAGAGAAGGGCTTGTGGGTGATGTGGTGGTTGGAGGCAGTCTTGGGCACAGTGATCATGAAATGAGAGAACTTTTGGTTCTTGGAGTAGTACAGAGGTAGGTCAGCAGAATTGCCAGTTTGGGTTTCTGGAGGGCAGAGTTTGGCCTGTTTAGGAGACTGGTTGACAGAGTCCATTGGGAGGTAGTTGTAAGGGGCAAAAGGGTCAAGGAAGGCTGGATGCTCTCCAAGAAAGAAATCTTAAAGGTGCAGGAGCAGGCCAATGGCATCATGGCCTGTATTGGAAATAGTGTGGCCAGCAGGACTAGGGAAGTGATCACCCCCCTATACTCTTCACTGGTGAGGCTGTACCTCGAGTCCTGTGTTCAGTTTTGGACCTCTCACTATGAGAAGGATATTGAGGTGTTGGGCTGTGTCCAGAGAAGGGCAGGGAAGTTGGTGAAGGGTCTAGAGCACAAGTCAGATGAGGAGCTGCTGTGGGAGCTGGGGCTATTTACCTTGGAGAAAGGGAGGCTCAGGGGAGACCTCATCACCCTCTAAAACTGCCTGAAAGGAGGTAGTAGCCAGGGGGGAGTGGGTCTCTTCTTCCGAGTAACAAGCTATAGGACAAGAGAAAACAGGTTCAAGTTGCATCAGGGGAGGTTTAGATTGGATATTAGGAAAAATTTCTTTCCTGAAAACATTGTCAAGTCCTGTAACGGGCTGCCAGTGAAGTGGTTGAGTCACCACCCCAGAGGTATTTAAAAGACAGGTGGACGTGGCACTTAGAGACATAGTTTAGTGGTGGACTTGCCAGGTCAACAGTTGGACTTGATGATCTTAGAGGTCTTTTCCAACCCAAATGTTTCTATGATTACATTCTTCTGGCATATCTGCCATGTTTGGAAAGGAGATGCCGACATGGGCTCTGTCCTCATGTTTTGTGTCACTGGAGAAATACGGTATCCAAGGGATGGCAAAAACCTGAGGCTGTCACTATACCCAAATCAGTAAGAGACCATTCTTAGCATCCAGGTGTCTGCTTGTTTAAAACCAGAGCTGTCTTTGACCTCTCACTGCAGCTGACAGTGTATTATGAATACTCCCACCAAAAAGTATTTGAGCGGCGTAGGGCAAATTTGTGATTACAGTGGAACACTCCTATGTATTCTGATTGCAGAAAAGAGGAAGGATCAAAGCCACTAGTGTGGCCAGCTGTGGTACCACTGGGCACAGTTCTCTGCTCTCTGTCTTCCATCAGAGGCATTGTCAGGGAAACCAAACTGATGCTCTGAGATATGTTTTTGCAGGTGGCTCTGGGCCTGAAAACTACCCACCTCCTTAAAGCTGTGCCACAAGAGCAACTGGGGATACATTAAAACCTGTAAAACCATTATGGCTATCAGTCTTTCCTTGCACTCTTCCATTTGGAAGATAATAAATGCCAATGATTTTTATGCTGTAATGTTTTTTATGCTTCTGGACATAAATTTTGTTTAACCTCTGCTGTCCATTTGAGATTTGTACCAGCTCAGCAGGGCACAAACTTGCATGCAGCTGTCAAACACCAGTGTGTCATATTCCACCCCCACACCTCCATGGCATTTTTTTTTGTTCTGACCAATCCTGCATTCGAGGTGCAGTGGAGGAGACTGTGCAGGCCCTCTGCACCTCTGCTGAACTTCCTCTAGCTGGATGTTGCTCTGCTCAGAGATAAGGACAATTCACTTGGTTGTGGTACATATGTTTTCCAGGTTTTGGGTTTTTTTTTGTTTTATTCTGAAATTGCTGTAGATGTGCAGAGCATTTAAAACCTTAACCTAAAGGCTATTTGATGTGTGTATGTAGCAGCACACCTTATGTGATTGTCATGCCCATGCTCAAAAGTTTAAAGGAATTTATCCTCACAACGAGTGCTGTGAGGTACATTTGAGGTACATGCTCTCATTACCCATTGGACAAGTTCAGAAGTGGGGCAGAGAGAGACAATGTGTGACTTTTCCCAAGATCACAAGAAAGGCAGAAGCAGAGCAGGAATAGGTGCAATGGGTGTGCAGCAAGCACAAACCATTTTGATTTTGTTATTGTTGTTAAAAAAAAAAAATCTATATACTCATTAGTGTTGACAAGGAAATTTATTAACGTCCCTGTCAAGGCAGTATCAAATGAGAATATGTTTCTTATGTGTAGTCAGGAGCTCTTATTTCATTTGATGGAGAGATTTCAGCAAAAATGTTGGTGCCACAGTCATATATGAACAGAGCCTAGGAAAATATTTGCATGAGTAAATCTTAGCATCTAGATATACTTATGGTTTTTTGCATTTCTGGTAACACAAGTATCTATTGCACAGACCCTTGGAAAGCCATGAAAACACATGTATCCACAGTATATATACATATACATGAAACCATATATATATTTAACTTATGTAAGATCTTTGTCTTTAGATAAACACAGAAGAATAGGAACTTCTCCTATTTATACTTTCAGGCAGCAGTTCTGTAAAACATAGTACTTCTTAAAAGTGAACACAGAAGCTGATTTCATAAATATTTTCAGATCTGATTTAGAGATTGAAATTAAGAACAAAGTACTGCTGTATGTAACCAGAGATTTAAGAATTACTGACATCTTTTGTTCTCAAAGTTCAGCATTTAGGTTTTCTTTACTTCTTTGTATTTACCTGCAAAGAAGTAAATTCACATTTTTCCTGAAACAATTGGCCACTGAGCCCTAAGACTCTATGTAAAATGGTAAAGGGAACTAAACCTCTTTATTCTTGTGTAACTCATTAGCTAACGTCAGACGATTAGAGCTAATGTTTCCATCTAAAACAATTCAAGTCCCTCATTAACGGGGATAGATTTCCTTTGATCTAATTACTTAATGTCCCAGATATATGGGAAATTCAGAGATCAGCTCTGAGAAATCTCTGCAGACATGGTCACATCTAGAAACATGAACTTACATGTAGACTCACGAAATGTTGTTTAAAACGCTAACAAGCCTTGTTTAGTCTGCTGGTAGTTCTTGGTTAAATGTTAAATGAAATCATGCTGATGATAGCTAGAGAGTGAAGATAATGGCTGTTTGCTGAGAATGATTTAATCTCCATTGTTATAGGCAAGTGGATTGCAAATTTCCATAATTAAACATCCAGTGCATTGGTCAGATTCTGTTTGATAATTGCTGTTGTAGGGAAAACAGTACAGCGGGGTGTTGCTGTCACATGACAAGCTTTTGAGGCTGAGCTAATAGGATGCCCTTTTAAAATGTTCTCCATGTTTTGTGCTTTAGAGACAGAGGATACCATCATGGAGGTTTCATCAAAAGAAAATACTCGCTTTTTCTCAAACAACACAATCCTGCCCGTGGACCGATCTTCATTCAAATCTGAATCTTCTGCATCCAGGGAAAAACACTCGTGTTGTGGAGGTATAAAGGTAGAGTAAGAGTTTTTGAATATTCCAGTAGGAATGTAGAAAATCTCTTTTTTTTTCTTTTTGGTGAAAAATCGCTTTTTCACTTCTGATTATGTCTTGCTGAGTCAGAATGAAACTATTGAAGATATTTTCAAGTCACAAAGAAAGTCTTCTTCAGATCTGTGTTTGCCTAACGTTTGGAAATATTCCAGTTAACTTGTCGGTTGAGGCTTGCCTGTTAGGAGATCTTCAAGGGTCATCCTGAAAAGTCACTCAATCCTCCTTATTGCACCACCTGAAGTTAAGAACAAAGCTTTGGAAGAGAGGTAACACAGGCACCTGTTAGTACAAATTCCTCTTTTAAGATTGTAGCCTTGGTAGTTCTCTGGGCTTTCAAAAATACTATTTGTATTACGGTCCATGCGTTTTGAGTGCAATATTATTAAAGTATTATTGTAACGTTCCTTGTTCAAGAGAACTCTGCATGAGATGACTTTGAAACGAAACTGCAGAAGTATCACCACTGTATCTGCATTTATCTCACCCTAGAGCAGTTCTTCCTCGAGGCGATGGAAGCTCCCTGCTCTAAGCCTCGTAGCGCAGCTGTACCCACCTGACAGTAGGACCGCTGCACCTCGGAGGAGCATTCCTCCCTGCAAGGGACACTGGGGTGCAGGAGGCAGCATGGTGCTTTGCCTACTGTCCCTGCCTGCTTTCCAAAGCCAGGCTGTAAAATGCTGACACCCTCTTGGGTGAGGTCTCAAAAATCACCGTACAATGATGAGATGAAATTATTTGAGTTATACAGAAAATGCGTCTTCGGCCTTGCCCTGTTCTTTTCATCTTGCACAGTCTTCATTTCTTTTGTTCTTAATCTCTCTCTCTTACACACATCTACTTTCAGATATTAATTCAGCTCCCAATACAGCAAATAACATCACTGATAATTGCCCTGAAGTCTATAAATTTGGAATCTTCTGGTTTTGAAATAGAAGATGAGTTGTATTAATTAAATGTTGTAGCATAATAGTAATTCTTTCATTGTTCCTCCATTTGCTGCAATGATAATCCGATCCCCTCAATGAATAAACCTTCAGTCACAGCTTAGCCAGTCAGGAATCAGCTTATTAGCTCCAAAAATAGAAAAGCAATAATATTTCAGCTCAGTTTCTTTCCGTCCGAAGAATTTGTGTCTTCTGGGAACCCAAACAGACACAGCCAATCCACTCCAGTAGGGACTTAGAAAACCTCTTTCTTTTTTTTTTTTTGTGAACTAAGTCTTTTTCAGTTTTGATCATACATTTCTAGTCAGAATTAAATTATCAAATAAATTTCTAGGTTATGAAAAATTCTGCTTCAGGTCTGTATTTGCCTAATATGTTAGCAAAACAATACGCAGATTCAACGGGTTGTTTTTACCAATTATCAGCCTTTCTGTGGGTTAAAACTGCCTTTATAAACCAGAAAGATGTGGTAAAATATTTACTTACAGGCACTGACAAACCAGAGCAGAATTTGAAATCATGTGCACCTTTCTGTCCCAGCTCTAAATCAGGAGCACACCTGGGACAGTCGCAACCCCAGTAAATAAACTTGTGTCAAAGACAGACAGAGACATTTCAAGTTCTATTTTACCTATATCACTTTCCTGTAAAAAAAAAACATATGTGCTTTCACATTACTATTTAGAATCCAAGGGCATAAACACACAGAAAATGTAAAATAGTATGGCAATATTTTTACAAGAGAGTTCTTTGAGAGCCATTGCTGTAGGAAATAGGAACTAGACAGTGGTTGTGTATGTTTATTTGCCCACAACTGTTTCTGAAGGAGGAATAACCAACACTGGATAAAGTGTGCTGAGGGAGACACAGAGATACATTTGAATCTTAACACCAGAATTTGTGTTCAGTAGTAGTAGCACCAGTGTTATTACCACTGTGCCCTGCCAAATGAGGTGTTGTGAGGAGTTTTGTACTGGAGGTGAGTACATCACTTCACCTACTCACTGGAAGCATGATTGCTCAGAGAGGATTAAGGAGCAGGCCAAGGCTCTAGACCTCTGTTCTTATGAAACATTACTGTGTCTTTTAATTTCTTGGTTAGGGTTTGGGTTTCTCTTTTTAACGCCGTTTACAAAGAACATCCATATTCATATTCAGTCAACAAAACCCGTATCTGAAGGTAGAAAGCAATGTTGTGATTTCTATGACCAATTGCCTGATGTGTGAGTATCCATGGAGCTCACAAACTCAGTAGGGCTGCATTCAGTGAAGGCAAATTAAAGCAATAGCTCTGCAGGAGCAGAACAGTTGGTGCTAAGGACCCTGCACTCCCACTATAGGCATTTCAGAGTGGGGAGATACTTCAGACCAGCCCTCATCTTGTCCCAGAGACTGAAGAGCCATTGACTGTTGAAGTGAATGTAATGCCTGTCTGGAACACATCTTCCAGTTTAATTTTGTGTGAAAGGGTTTCAGCCTGCATATTTGCAGTACGTAGCAAAGCACAGTGAAGGGGGTGGGAGTTTAATTCCCAAAGCTTGCTCCTGATCCAGAGCAATGGGCTAAAACTGATACAGTGATAACTAAGCGAAAATAACTGTCTCTGAAAAACTAAAGGATGGGAGAAGGTTGTTCCCAGCAAAATGTTTTCTTTTCCAAAAGAAAACATATGTGTTGCAGCTTGCAAGATATTTGGTGAGCAGAGGATGAGCCTAGAAGGTAATTGCATGGCAGGCCACTGTTCATCTCATGGAGCCATATAACAGAAAGCAAAGATTTCTCCCTCCTGGTCACCCTGGGCTTGAATGGGAACAGCTTAGAGCCTCTCAATTCCAGACCATTGCAAAAGCCTGTGTTTAAAAATACCCAAATAACTCACCTCCCCACCAAGCCACACTTAACATTTACCCTCATGGTTTACTGTGTAAGATATCACCTCCTTAGAACATCATGAGGGAGATCTGTGTCTCTATCTGTTGCAGCAGCACCTTTGACACCTACCTGAAATTAGCAGTGGTTGGTAGCAAGTTCAGTTCAATATATACCAATATTGAACAAACCAGCAATATAGGATTTAATAAAAAATTAGGAGAAATATTGATGTGGTTATTTGGAAAAATGTAAAAATTGCTTAAAAATAATTCACAAAGTAAAGTCTTCTGTACTGCCTATTCTAATCACTGTCAATTTTTTCCCACAGATATTTCTCGGTGCATTGTCTTTTGTTTATTTTGCTAAAGCACTGTCAGGAAGTTATCTAAAAAGTACTATCACACAAATAGAAAGAAGATTTGATATCCCTTCCTCTTTGGTTGGCGTTATTGATGGAAGTTTTGAAATTGGTACGTGCTGTAGAAACCCATTTTTATTCTCAGTAAAAAAGAATGATGCAATTTGTTGTGAAGAATGATTGTACAAATCTCCTTGAGCCATTAAAACTGAGCAAGATTACCCTAGTAAAAATCAGTGGGACTGTCAGTATGATTACATTGGATAGCATCGGGTTGGTTGCTAATACAAGAAATTAGGCATAGTCCTTGTGATTTGTTAAGCTTAGTGTCTGGCTAATTAATACTAACAGAAATTTTGACTGTTAAATGAGAATTTGCCTGCACAGATTTATGCTTTCTCTCTGCTTTTGTCAGTAATCTACCTCCCCTGCAAGTGTTTACCTGTTATAATTTATTAAGCAGCAGGAGTACAAACCTCTAACTGTAATCTACATTTATTTTCCAGTCCATCTCCTTCCCTGTGTACTAAAGTTTCCAGCAAGACATTGTCTCTTACGATTTCAGATTAGTGAATTTATCTCATTGGAGTGTGGTACTCATGGGAATGAAATCTTAGCCTAAGTATATAAAACTCTGTTTGATTCCCCCTTTTCCTGCTTTTTTGGTGATTTGCTCTCTTCAGCTGACGCAGTCCTTCTCCTCTTTTCCAGCTGTTTATCCAAAAGTTTATGGTTTTCTTATCACAGAAGGCACTGGGTTCCTGTAGAATGCCTGGAAAGAGGGAGAAAGAGCAACCCCAGACCATCAGCCCTCTCTTCCTGAAAACGCTGCCTATACCACATACTAGGAGTGGTTATTTTAGGGGATCTCTTATCAACAAGCAGTAAAACTCAGTTTTCCTTTTGTACTCTCGAAGGGAACCTCCTAATCATAATTCTTGTAAGCTACTTTGGAGCAAAGCTTCACAGGCCAAGAATAATTGGAGCAGGCTGCTTAATTATGTCAGCTGGAACATTCCTAATTGCGATGCCCCAGTTCTTCATGGGACGGTAAGTGCAAAGCGATCAGTATTTTACAGCTGGGCTGTGCACACTGAATGGCAGCTCACTAAAATATTCAGGCATTGATTATGAAGATCCCCGTAGAAATAGGCATATGTGGATGTTGTTACTTAATCTGATATTTTTCCCGAAAGGACTTATTCCTGGGGAGCAAATAATTTAACATATATACTATCTCAGTTGTAATCAGCTTGTTGTTTTATTAGTCTGTGATCTTGACTTGGCCACATTTTGACACGGTTTAGGAATTGTTGAAGCATCAGTGAAGAAGTGATGACTAAACTCAGGATGAAATTTGCACTTAAGTGCTATAGACCTACCTGGTAGTAACAAATCCGATTGCTTTTTCTTATCGGTTCTTATAAACAAAAACAACTTTGTTTTTTTAAACAGATATCGCTATGAAAGATTCCCTTCCACCATCAACTCGACTGTTAACATCTCTCCATGTCTGCAGGATAAAAGCCAAACTCCACTCACATCCTTGGAAAAGTCTCAAGCAAAAATAAATGAAGGTGAGAGAGATCTCTGTTAAATATTGTGATAAGCATCCTAAAATATATCGCAAGGCTCTAAAAGGCCCATGCACTACTTAATCAGAATGCAAAAAAAAAAAAAGGAAAAAAAAGAAAATCAGATTAATATTTCCCACAGAAAAGACAGACCTACTGGCTGAGGCAAGTTTATTCAAAATAAATGTATAACTGCCCAAGAGTTTTTTTCGGGCTGCAGCCTTTCCTCCAGCTTTACTTTCCCCTTCAGCAACTTTCTGCAGCTCTGTGTTTTGCAGAAACACCAATCTCCCATGGGGTCCTTGGAAAGTCATGGTGTTTCTTTTGCTGGGAAAACATAGAATCATAGAATCAAAGACCTTTGAGATCATCAAGTTCAACCCTTGATCCAACACCACCGTGGTTACCAGACCATGGCACTGATGCCACATCCAGTCTCATCTTAAAAACCTCTGGGGACGGTGAATCCACCACTTCCCTGGGCAGCCCATTCCCATGTCTGATTACTCTCTCTGTAAAGAATTTCTTCTTACTATTCAGCCTAAACCTCCCCTGGCACAGCTTAAGACCATGCCTTCTTGCCCTACTGCTGGTTGTGTGGGAGAAGAGACCAACCCCCACCTGGCTACAACCTCCTGTAGCCAGGAGGTACTCTCTAGGTAGTTGTAGAGAGTGAGGAGGTCTCCTCTGAGCCTCCTCTTCTCCAGGCTGAACAACCTCAGCTCCCTCAGCCTCTTCTCATAAGACTTGTGTTCAAATCCCTTCACCAGCCTTGTTGCTCTTCTCTGGACCTGTTCCAGCACCTCAATATCCTTCCTGAACTGAGGGGCCCAGAGCTGGACACAGTAGTGGAAATATGTCTTCAGGTCCTCAGTCTGCTGGAAAGAGCCATTGGGTCTCCCAGCCTGCAGACTCTGCTTCTTGTTTCTCTCCCTGCCTGTTGACCCTGTTTTGCACACCACAGAGCTGTGTCCCTGCTGGATGCATTGAGTTCCTCTTGGGGAAGGAACTTTCCTCCCCTATGCCTGGCAAATCAGACCCTCTATATGTCCCAAAATGTGTGTATGTTTGCATCCCCACACCTGCGGATTAAATGTGGCCAGCAGTGCTCACTATCATCAATGTTTCCCAAATCTTTCCATCAGGGGATCCCAGTTTTGGTTAGAAAAAAGTGAAAAAGTTTTCTAAAATGGGACGTGGTGACAAATTTATAAAATCGGTGAACTCCTAGTATCTTTGAGGCAGTTTGTGCTAAAAATATTTCCACTTAAGCTGATTGGGTTAAAATTGCCATCCCCGCACTTCCCAGTTTTCCTTCTGTTTTCCCCACTTTAGAATTATTTTAGAAAACCTGTGCATTCAGTGTCAAACTGTTGTGAAAAGCATATAATTGCTGTCTCTTGTTATGTATTCAGGATGTGAAAAGGAAGCAGGCTCTTCCATGTGGATCTACGTTTTACTTGGAAATCTTTTGCGTGGAATAGGTGAAACCCCTATCCAGCCTCTGGGAATTACATACATTGATGATTATGCCATAGAAGAGAACGCTGCCTTATATATTGGTAAAATAAATATTACTTATTTTCCTAATGGATTTTTCCCCAGAGGAAACGGAGTCATTCCGAATAATGGAATGAGTGTTATTGAATTAACTTGCCCTGATTGTTTTGTTTGCATAATTTCCAATATTAAAATTTATTTAAGTCATGTACACTCAAGGGACCAAGTTCCCCTTTAATTATACCAGCAGTTCCATTATCTTAATTTGATGAAAGAATTTGACCTTAGGTTCCTGCTGTTCTCCTAATCTTCCTAATTCTTCTGGATGTGGACTGCTGAGCCTCTGTGCACATTCAGTTCTCTGGAAAGTGATAAAAACATGCTCTTTCAAGCACTTAAAATAGAATTTTAGCAGGCACTCAAAACATTGCCTCCAGATTCCAGCAGAATTATAAACAATAGTGCTGAGGCTTTAGAAAGTTGGTATCACTGCTTTCTTGTGTTCATTGCCTGACCTCTGCACATTCACCTGGAATATTACCAAAAAATTCCTTCCCCATCAGCATCCTGTCTTGACAAGTTTCCATCCTGGTAACTGGCAAAAACTCAGGTTGTCTCTGTAAGAGATTCAGTCTTCCCAGACAAATTTTGAAAATTCACACTATTCAGAAAGTTTGGCTGAGGGTGTAGGGAAATGTTATTATTGGATACCAAAATAATGGTATTTTTCAGCCTATTCAGAGTCCCACCTCAGCCTAAAGTGATCACTTAAATAATTGCCATTTGCTTTCCAGTTACTTTAATGTATTTAGCTAAAGAGTTTCTAGCACTTACAGATGTCATACTCTGCTTTTAGGTGCAGAAGAACCAGTGCTCTTTTTGACTTGGGAGTGTAACAGTCCCCTATTTTTTATTCCAGGCTGTGTACAGACAGTGGCAATTATAGGGCCAATATTTGGCTTTCTTCTGGGATCCCTGTGTGCCAAACTTTATGTTGACATAGGCTTCGTAGATCTGGGTAAGTCAGAGAACTCGGGTTTCAAAAATACAGTCAGGCTCCAAAATTCCTATTTTGGGCCAAGAACTATCTGGTTATGTATAAGGGGCTAACAGGAGTAGAACAGGCACATGATGTGACTCTTGGGGATGGTCCTGTGCAGGGCTCGATGATCCTAATGGGTCCCTTCCAGCTCAGCATATTCTGTGATTATGAAATAAAAAGGATGACAGCAATAGAGTGGAGAAAAGGCTGGCAAAAATGATGGTTGTGGAGGAAGTAGAAGACCTGACTCTTCCTCAGTCCCAGCAAGTCTGCAGCGGGTGCCTCCAAGAGATGCCCTGGGGAGGAGGCTTAGGGGAGACAGCAGGTGCCAGGAGGAGGCAAGACTGAGGCTCAGGATTTATATGTATGCATTTTTTAGTATCCTGTTGTTGCCTGGAAACATAGTTTGGCAGTGGGCACCAGGTCTCCTGATTGCCTTCTGCCTGAAAAAACGCTTTCCACCCTATTTTTCCTTGCGGCTTTTGTACAGAACAGCCTGACTGGGAGCAAGGCAGTGGCCACCTGGGCTACCCCACCTCCTGGGCCTTGCAGCATCTCTGGGGATGTGTGAGCAGCACAGCAGTGTCAGGGCCAGGCTGCTGCCGTGTCACAGCAATCAGCAAGTCCTTGTTGCATCCCCACAGCTGCTCTTGTAACACCCTCAGAGACGCACAGCTAAACCTGGTGAGGCGGGAACAGACTCCTGCAGAGAAAGTCCCTGAAAAACCACCTTCCTTGTTATCAGCACTCTCGAAAAGCATCTGTTTGTCTCTTCTTTCTTTTGGCTTTCTCCAGACAGCATCACAATAACTCCCAAGGACGTGCAGTGGGTGGGAGCGTGGTGGCTGGGTTACTTGATAGCCGGTGTGATCAGCGTTCTGGCCGGCATCCCCTTCTGGTTCCTGCCGAAGCACCTCCCAAAACCGGAGAGCAGGAAGGACTCCAGCACCTCTTCTGAGCAGTCCAAGTTCATCATCGAGGATAACAAGGACCAACACAAACCTTATCAGCAAAAAACGAAGATTGCTGAGATGGCAAAAGGCAAATCACTGGAGTTTCTTTCCTGATTGTTGTTTTTCTCTCAAAGGCTTTTATACTTTAAAATTTTATACTTTCTGAGGCCCTATTTTAGTGGGCTGAGAATTATGATTTTTCCCCCAGGTGTCACTCTCCACCTAAATAACAGACATATAATGGGTCTTGTTTCCTGGACCTGCTCTTGCACGTGGGATTTCTTCATCTGGGATTTGTAAAATTATGCTAGTGGGCCAGCAAATACCATGAAACCCTGCAAAATTTTTTCATTCACAGATAGTGACTGTTGCAGAAGCAGTGGTCAAAAAAGGCTTTTAGGTTTTGCTAAACCTTTTTCTGTAAGTTCATTCATTAGAAAAACACAATATCTGATCAGAATAAGGATGGGCACAGACTCACAACAGTATTGTTGGAGGCTGTCTGGATTTAGGCAGGAGCTGGTTTGCACGGTTGCATTTCCTTGGCCTTACTTTACCAAAAGCATTTTTCCTCAGTACTTGAATCTGTAACTCAATATGTCTGTGCTTACCGTCAGCTGTGCTGAGCAGTCTCTGCCCCAAATTAAGCTGAAAGGTGCTGTGGCTGTTGAGGACACATAGAAACCAAATCAGTCCTGGCTTATGATCGAAAGAAGGAATAGAAAACAAGATGCCTCTTCTGGGAGATTGATGCTTAGTGTTTTCCTCCATCCAGAAATGGGAGAGCTCTTAGGAGCATCATGGAACTTCATGGATTCCTTCTGAAACGTTCTGCAATCCTTTTTTTAGAAGGTGGAAGCATATCACAAAGCATTATTCACAGCAGTTATTCTCCCTCTGGTCTGCTTGTCATTTCTGCTGTTTTGTCTTGCAGACTTCTTTCCATCACTGAAGTGCCTCTTTGGGAATCCAGTTTACATTCTGTATTTGTGTGCAAGTATCATTCAGTTCAATTCTTTAATTGGCATGGTGACATATAAGCCAAAGTATATTGAACAACAGTACGGGCAAACATCTTCAAAAACTAACTTTGTTATAGGTAATGCTATATCTGCTTCTTGATATCTTTAAAGTGGACATTTTAGGAGTGGCATGTACATTCATATAGGGAAAATTGTATTTTTTTAGGATATGTTTATTTCTTCTCCTTCCTTGTCTGACTTTAAATAGTAGCTTATAGTAGGTAAGTTCTTTCATTTCTTCCTTAGCACTAGTTAGCTCTGAGTTTATCTATGCAAGAGTTACTGTGAAAGTTCACATTATTTGATACCTTAATTCCCATTTAACTGGAAATTTGAAAAATACTGTATATATACAGCACAAGAAAGTAATTGAGAATAGAATTAATTTTAAAATACTTTATGTAAATTTGCCATCAGACAGATCTGTTTCCTTGCTGGCATCCCATTTATTTCAACAAAATAAAGATCATGTCAGTGAGTGCTAAAGGATTAACCATAAAGTAATGTCATATTGCCAGTGATTTCTTACTTTCTGAAGAGGTTGGGGTTAAATAAAAGGAAGGCAAGTCATATTCCAAAATCTTCTCTACAGTACAAGAAAGAGAGATGCTGCTTCTGCCTTTGGGTACCATGGTGGCCATTTTTGTAGATGACTTCAGGATCATGAACTCAAATGCCCAGTTGCTGAACCTGCACACAGGCTTGAGTTCCCTTCCTAAAGTCCCGGGATTCAACAGCATTAAAACAGCAAAGAGGTTTACATCTACCCAATACAGAGGGAACTGCCTTGTTTCAGGGCAGCATTAGTTGCACAGCAACAGAGGTATATATATGCAGAAAAGCTGTATTGATCCATTGTGCTATGTGCTAATTCCTTAAAGATAGAAGCTGGAATTTCCTGGCACGAAGCTCCTCAAAGCAAGGAGAAATCTTGAAGTATAGTTGATGGCCAGAGAAAGTCCAGAAAACAATCCCTACATTCAGTAGAGCACTTCCAATTGTATTTAAAGATTTTTTTGGAGCTAAGCTTTCAGGTATGTGCAAACTGAGTGGGGATTAAGAACAGTTTGATTTCACTGAGCATAGGGAATACATGCAACAGAAAGCATGCAATGACTTGGCTAGGGAAGGATCCTTACTGAGTGGCTATCCCTGCAATAAGGCAGTTTTTCTTCCTTCTTTTCCTTTCTCTTCAAATCCCCCCTTGCTGAGGGCTGACTAGAACTTACAGTGTTTATTTCACTTTCCCTCACTCTTTTACTATTTTTTTTGACAAATTCTATCACAATCTCTCTGAGAGATTTCAAAATTGCCAGAGAGCAATTTGAAGCATTTAAAAAAAAAAAAAA